TAAAATCTCTGCTCTTACTCTGCCTTGCTCTCCATCTTTCAACTGGACTATACAAGATAAAACAACAAGTAAAGTGCATGCTTAAATAATAATTTATATAAACCATATGTTACTTTTTATTTGCACTAAAGGAGACAGTTTAAATTGAAAGCAGAAAGGTTTAAGAATAAGATCACACACGTTGAATACAATTTTAACTGATTCATTTTTTCTCTCTTGTATAATGTAAGAGATTTTAGGTAAAACTGAAGTTCATAAGTCAAAAAATTCATACATTTGTATCTATATCCATGATTTTTAACAATCTGGGTCACTCAAATAAGCTTTACAAGTTGTAGGGGTTTATGAATTTGAGTCTAGTATTCTTAGCTTCTATCTATGATGGAGTCACTAGTGCTTACCACTGGATAGTCTTAAGCAAAGCAGAAACAGCTCTCTAGTGTTCTTTAGCTTTCAGTGATTATCTATTTAATTTCAAGCCCTAAAAATACCGACCTTTACATCAACTGAATCCTCATAAACAGAATAACTGATATTCAATGAGAGTTTTCCTTTAAAAATTTAGCTGCCAAAGTTTAAACGAGGATAAGTTAACTTAAGAACACTGAAAATATCTTGTACTTCGTAGATCTCTAAGGGAAATAAAAAATATTTAAAGAAAAACACGTCATTTTAGAATATTTTCAAGAAATGCATAGTGGCAAACTTTGAATGTTCTAATGATTTTATTGCTTATTTTTTATTAGCTTAGATGTATGAATCAAACGCTTAGAATGTTATTATAGAGATAATCTTTAGAAACTAGCTGATAGAAAAAAGTGCTTTTATGGCGACTCTGCATTGTAACAGATACATTAAAGTTTTTATAGGGTTAAGATATGGTTACCAATCTTTTGAGTAAAAAACTGATTCATAATAATTTTATATATGCGAGGATTACTTTTACCTCAAAACCAATCCCATAAACATCTTTACCAAAACCATTAACAGTAAGAGAATGTATGACATTGCGTTTCATCCAGTACAGTGGTTAAATAGTAACACTCAGTATTCTAAACTATTCCTTTATTCTTTCATCTTGGCTTAAACTGACATTCTTCTAATTTCTTTTTCTAGTGTTAATACGTTAGCTTTCAATGTTCTTTTCATCTCTTTTGGGTTATATGCGGGAGAAAAAGCTAATTCAACGAAGAAAACTTCTTCTTCAAATGAGTCATTCTTCAAGGATATCCGATAGTATATTCATTTACTATTTCTTTCAAAGGAGCAGGAGCACTTAACATATTAAAATAATAATTAACACTTTTATGTAAGTTGGCGGCTTTGAGGCAGTCCCTCCCTCCATTTTAATTTCTTATCCCATCCTAATATTTTACATTTTGGTAATCTTTTATGCTCCGCTAATCTAAGTGACTCTGTCTGGCCTGTGTGTGTAAACTCACGAAAATTGCAGGGTATTCGATAAACTATATTATTTCGCCTGATGAGCTCCATGGGGTTCTTTAAACGATATAGTTTTTTTATTAAGTATGTTCGTGGGTTCGAATGCCACTTTCATTCCTGCCTCGTTAAGAATTCTTCACCAGGCTTCAAAGTTCAGTTCTATGTGAGACAGCACTACTGATTTTTGAAACTCCCTATTTTTTATGCTGTCATCATTTTATGTATGTTTGTCATGTGTGTCGTCCTTATTATTAATAACTTTATTTTCTACAGTTTCTATCACGGCAGTTATCAAGTGTCAAATCTTCTCTTATGTATCTTACTTCCTACCTTAGATTTTTTCTGGTACACTTTATAATTATCCCGGACATCTGGGACATTCTACTACCCCTACGACAAATGCAAAGAAAAAAAGGGAACTTTAGAAATCTAATTTCGAAGTTGTGCAGTTATAACTGATGAGAATATGAACAATAAATTGTGTTCGAAATGTCACCCAGTAAATAATACTGTTTCACTCTGTGATATATTCAATTAACTAAATAATATGAAATTACATAATACCACAGTGCCAAAGTTTTACGCATATATCAGCTCCTGCATGGCCTTTAATGAATACATTGGAAACGAACGCGATGGCGAGTCACCTAACTCGATGACCACATTGCAAGCTTAACTGATAGAATTCAGTCAGCACCAACACAAAAGCAGTAGGGACATCCTACTGGTTACACCCCCAGTAATCAGTTAGTGTAATTAATATTATTGTTCCCCGGGTTTCCTGTGGATTATAGAACTTCAGGAGCACACCTCCACTTTCTCCTGTTCTCTACAGCGTTTATTAGCTAACTCGAAGACTTCCCACTGGCTTTTATTTCTTCCTTACGCGATCTTCTCCAGGTCATCTTCAAACGACCAACTCATCGATTCATTGTGAATTTATTTATACCTCTGTTTAAAAGCTATGATTTTTTTGTTATCCAAATTACTTTACTATTTATGTTTCTTTTCCCCAAAGAATTCATCACCACTTTAATGTGTTAATTACGTAATCTCCGCTAACCTCGCAAATATGGGCCAAAAGTCAAAAAAGCCCTACAGTATAGTCGTGAAGAATGACTTCGTTGACAGAGGAATTTTTTTAGCTGGATTAACTTTTCCTCTTTATCACTATTGTACTTTCTTGAATTCTTGAATTTGTATTGGAATTATAACTTTTCAAGGAAAATGAAGCTTTTTTCGCACACACATCTCCATGCTATGAAACTTTTAAATCTACCAGAAAAATCCAGCATTCTTGAATGTAATGTTTTTCTCTTATTATAAACTCTCCTTTTTGGTCAAAGCCAATAAATACGCGTAGGTGATTGATAACAAATTGAGACTTCTTTTGAAAAAGTGAGTCAGTGTAGTCCTAGTCTGTGACAGTTAAGGCTAGTAGTCGAAATCCTACCGCTACCTACATTTTCATTTTAATTATGATTACCAATTTGTTAGGATAAATATTTGATAAGAATTTATGAACTGACATGATAAATTAATAAATGAGAAGTAATAAGGAATCTGAAATATCTTAAATATGCATAAGCTAAAGGGAGATGTTAGTAACTTATGGAAAAAACTACGCTCATCTGCTTTTTTTCATCTGTTCTCAGAGTTCTGTTCAATCTGTACAACTAGTTTCCAGGTAAATTCAGTCTTCTGATCTAATAAACACAAGAGCAAAGGGTAGAAATATGTAAAAGTATATTTCACTCTGTCGTACGTCACTTAAACAATATTAGTAAATTCTTCTCTTTGTCACTACTGTGAGTTATAAGTTAATAAAATGTACTTCCGATACTAAACTATATACATTAAGACTGATTTCAGCCTTACGTCATAAGTACTTGTCCTTAACTTTCAGACTTCTAGATTATAATTTCACTTCTTAAACAAGGTTTCCAAACACTTACCTAGTACGCAATAGCCCTGTTTCATAATCACAACTTAGGATCCAGCCCATTTTTAAGCAGTAAACTCGAATATTAGTGGGCACATAAGCATTAAATATTTTAATGATTATGCTGAACTAAGTACTGTAGGTAGATGTATTGAAGTTTTGACTGAAAATTTCCCACACAATTAATATTTTTGAAACAATGGATTCATTCACTTTAAGAGGTTGGTAGTTTTTTTTAAAAGATTGAAGAACTGTCTTGTTACTTGTATTATTTACAGAGATAACTACTCTTAAGAAGAGTAGTGGTAATAATATACAATATGTGTTCATACATTAAAAGTAAAATTGTTTTAAAAGAAGTCCTTTAAGTAATTTCAAGTTTTAGGTTACCTTAAGTAATGGTTACCTTTGAATTACATTTAAATTCACGATTAGGCAGTTATTATCCATATGAAATGTAATTGAATCAGGGTCGGGAATGCAGTCAGATGCTTCATACTCTTTATAATAAGTTCTCTGAATCATGTGTTTTGAATCAGACCTATTACAGTTTAAATTTACTGTTGGGTAGTCTAGATTTTTTGCAGTTATACATACAGAACGTTGTACAACAGTAACGTTTACATTTTCTTCTTTATAATTTTGATCCAAAGGAATCATTAAAATCAGTTTATTTCCCTTCCGAATTGTCTGATGCTGGTCAAGTTGATGAGTTTGTGGTTTTTCACAACTTTTTATTATTACGTCATTCTCGTTTGTAGCAGGCTTTCGGCATTCATATGATTCTGTTCGACTATATTCTCCAGGATTCTTTTCATGTTTTGGTTCATTTAAATTCATAGACATGTACGGGATATTAATTAAGAGAAGACCATTACGCAGAAGTATGATTTTAGAATCTTCAACAAATACGTTTGAAGGCACAGTTAGGGTATTCTGAACTTCGCGACAAATGAAGTGACCGTCACTTTTTGTTTTTGTACGCGCATTCACCACTATTTCTTTCTTTGTGTTCAAGTAAGCATGAAGTGAATCCTTCTTTAGTCCCCGAGCATCAAGGAAAATTTTTAAAAAACATAGGCAGCTAGGTGTATTTACTTCAAATATGGTACACACGTGCTCCAGGATATTTGACATTTAAAGTGGTTATCGAAATACTTTAATGAAAACAAATTAATGCAGCTTTTCATGTTCTTAAAAAAAGAGTGGCCTTTCTTGTTTTAAAGCATACTGTGTATCATATGAATTGGAATAAATGCAAAACTCAACAGTTCTAATATAGTCTATCCAGGACTTCCTATTGGTTACTTCACGCACCCAATGAACAACAAGGTTTTTGACCTTCACCATTTCACTTTTCTGAAACTTATCATATTCTCAAGCTAATTTAAATTACTACATCTCTCCATCATGATAACAAAGAACTTATTCATGGACATTTCTAGTATCTTAACAATAAAAATAAACTCTTCGAAACCTTAAGTTGTGTGCATACACTTTAAGTTTGTACAAGATAAAATATCCAATTAAAATAAAAAACTTGAAGATTTATTGAACTCATTGTCTCTTCACTGCACAAACATAATGTGAGTCCTTAATTGTTTGTTTACATTAATGAGAGTGTAACGCATATGAAGGGCGGAACTTTTGAAATCCCCATTGTATTGGTTTTATGAACAGTTTGGATGCTGATATTAGTATGAGTGTTCCAAATCGTCCGTCGAACTCAAATACTACAATCTTGTCTGAAGATCGACCATGTCACAGAAGTCAGCTTACAACCTCAGACACAGTGGGTCGTTCAATGACCCTGTTACCTATAAATCATAATCATGCTCTTCATCACGGAATAAAACTGATGCCACACATGAATATACCTCACCGAGAAGTAGGAGCAACCACACCTTTAGTGAATAACTCTAGCGCAACCAGTAGCTGTTCAATGGCACTGCCAGGATCAATCTCAAGTGCATCAGATACGGATTGTAACGTTCTTCCCCACAACACTTCCGATACTAGCTCAATTGATCTGGCAAGTCTATTTGAGTGTCCTGTTTGTATGGATTATGCATTGCCGCCGATTCTACAGTGCCAAAGTGGGCACATAGTTTGCGCATCATGCCGATCTAAACTGTCGTCCTGCCCAACATGCAGAGGTAACCTAGGTAAGTCTTGGTGCTGGGTTTCTATATTAACACTCAGAGATTTATTTATATGTCTAAAGATACTACAAATACTCTCTATGTAGTTATTAATGTTACTAACTTTACTCATTATATTTATGTCATGCATACGGAGTTTTCAGATGTTCCACAGTGATTTAGGCAGTCGACAATGTACCACCAGACAGTGTGTCGAAAACCAGGTAGCCTCAAAGATGATATATATCTTGGTTTACTTGTAGTGCCTCACAAGTAATCACTTGCCATCGTACATATTGGATTTCCTCACTAAACTTTGTGTCTATAGTCCCTACTGTCCTTCATTTTTAAAGAATCGAGCTTAACTCAGTTCGTCTTTTCTGTTGCAATATAGGTCGTTTGAAGCCGTATGGCGTGCGCCACCTCACATTAATCATTTTAATACGTCATTCGTTAATTTCGTCGTTCTCGTGTGGTTTGATCATGTGCACAATAGATGTTCAGTGTTTTACCTTTGCTTCCATAGTACAACTATCCAAGGTGCGATTTAAGCGATTTTCTGGATAATGTGGGTTAGTTCCTAGATATGCATTGTTTCACTGTGAGAGGCAGAATGGTTGAAGCAGTAATGCAGGATCTTAAAAGCACAAATAAGAATTTTCGAAGCCTGTGGGTGGTTGTACTCGTAAGTTTATTTAGTTCATATAGGTCTATTGGAGATCTTACAAATGACTACATTTTGGAGTTTGTCACCAACTTGACCTAGTTAAAGCGCATTGTATGCAGCAATCAGTTTTGTTCCATCATACGTCGTGAAACTGCCATTTGAAATGAAAGACTAAGATGTCATTCTCTGTATTCCTAGCGTTTCCTGGCTGGCTGGCTGGATTCAACATAGAACTTGGCACCGAAGTGCAGCAGTTCGAGTTGCCACGTTCCGAATAGCACACAAAGGTAGACAAGAAAATGAGTGAAGAGAATCAATAGAGTTTTGATAAGTATAAGAGTGAAACAGAATGAGTAATGGTAGAAAGGAGTATGAAGGTTAAAGAGACTGAATACATCTGCGCCATGACAACGATTTTGAGCCATGTCCGGTACATGGCGGAAGTTAGTTAGCAGATTTTGAATGTAAAAGACTTGGATGATCAGCTAATAAAGGTGGTTAGAATTTTTAATTAATTTTGTGTTACTATTAACCTTGATATATATGTCAGGTTTGAATATCCAAATAACTCCTAATTTTTCATCTGAAAGAAATGTTTTCAAAAGTCTCACCAGGCCGTGAATTTGTGACTGATGACGGTATGATTTTATTGTTTGTGGCATTCATTGTATTTTATCTGGGTGGGACTCATGCCATGAATGAAGCTCCAAACATTTTCAATGAACCTCTGCCGTCTCAACCTCTGTTTAGTGTCATTTGTATGTATTCGCACTGATTCGGATTGCAACCACTTGCACCCTAATTCTGTGCGAAATTCCGCCCTTATTATTCCGTCTGGTGACGGCTAAAAATCACTACAGCGCAGATATAATCATCCCTTGTGATCATCCAGATTTGGAGAAACTCGTTAGACCAAACTATGAGTTGTTTTATTATTGTTGTATGCAGCTGTGACTCGACGTACATTTAAGAATTTTTTATCACAACTTCTTAAGCAGACACAGACTCCTGCAAATCTGCAACATTACTTCCGAATGGGATATTACAAAATGTATAATTATAGACATCAAACACTAATCGGTTGTACTATTTGTGCAACACAATATTGTCCTCACACTCAAAGTGGAATGGTCCTTTTTGATAGCGAACCTGCAGTACCACCACCGTGTCCCTGTTGGCAAAGTGGATTGGTGAAACTGGATAATCACGTTTAACTCTGCTGGTGATTGAGGTCTTCGTAAAGGACGATTGCATTTCCGTATGGAGCTCTCCACATGCCGACTGACATGATTTCTTATGAGAATTTCCGAGAGGAGTTTATGGCAAACCTAGTATCGAGAAAATCAACAGCTGTTGACTTACAGTGCAGTATCGTAGGCAAACACGTCAATACATCTACAATCTGAACATTGCATGACATACTGCAGCAGCCAGTAGTCTTAAAGTCACTTTTATCACTGACATTGTAATTGTTATCCGACTAATTTCCAAACTAGGATTTTCCCTGTATCTACAAAAGAAGCTGTTATTTTTTATGGGTCAGTATTTCATAACGCCTTAGTACTTAACGTCACTTTCCAGACATCTTTGCTATTTGAATCAGAACTACTCGTCTCATGTGTACCTTACTTTTGACTGCTAACGACTGGGATCAGCTGGAACAGCTTTCGACCGTTACCAGTTACGGTTGATGCTTCCACTTAACATCCAAGTTCTAACCTTATAATATAGCTGCTTTGCGTGCCATTTAGAATTGTGCTGAAGAGCCTTGCGCATATTACCTACTCACCATCTGCCGTGGTGGAAGTTACCTCAAACCAAAAGAGTCAGTGTTTGTTAGCAGGAGGTTCTTCGGGCATCGTACATACATAGTCTTGAATCTAGCTCGGTTTGCTATTTATTTGTCGCGCTACGTATAATCGCTTACATTATCTTGTTTAGGACGATGTAATAGAAACCGGAAGTACGGCTTGAACCCGAAGAAGTCCTCCAGCTAGTTACAGACACATATGAAGGCATAACCAGTGGCCACATGGATGCGGCAATTTTCTCACAAATCTGGGGACACTTTGCTTATTGAATAAAGCACTGAATTTTCAGCCTCTGGGTCCCGGATTCAAATCCATCTTCAGCCGGTTCAACTGGGTATTATCACTAACCTTCACATAAGTGTGCTTCATAGTTTGGCACCCAGTAACTGTTTCAGAAACTGAGCCAGAACATATGGACTATTTGTAAATGTCTATGATTGCTTACTAAGACAGTTTCACATTTTGCTTGAAGTTAGTCTTGAACACAAAGAATTCTTCGTCTGAGCACAATCGTATGAATGTCTTATTCTTTCAAATTGGGCATTATAAAAATTTACTTATACTCACATGCTTCTTTTTCATCTGACAACTTGCGTCTTACTTGGTGCATTTGTGAAATTTGATGAGTGTGTTGCTCAGCGGTTCACTGTGACCCAGTCTGACTAATAAGCTCCGTTGATTGAAATGCCCAAAGTAAGCGTTACGCACGCCAAACCACTGCCTTCGTCAGCAAACGATTTAAGCTGAAGTAAAATTATGTTAGGAAAAAGCTGGACGTTGTTAAATTAAAACATGGCATCAATCTGTGAAGTAACTGAATATCTGTCTAAGTCACTTTGGCAGATACAGATTATCTGTCTGAAGTTGTGGGGCTCACAGTAGATGGTTAGAGATGTTTTAATGCTATAGCTCGAAATGATTGCTAAACGATGGTGCAGAAGTACTCCTTGTTTATTTTCGAAGTAATGAGTACTTCCACCGATTCATCGTCGTATCCATGTTTTCTATTGTAATATTATTATTATTATTATCCCCCTGACTTCCGAGTGGGCTTCAACAACACATCTCCACTTTGTCCTATCTTCTGCCGTCCTCTTCAGCTTGGACCACGATTGCCACAATCTCTCATCTCCTCACACGATCTTCTCCATTTCACTCTAGGACGACCCACTCATCACTTCTCATTGGGATTCCACTCGAGTGATGGCCTGCATTGCACGTGATGTCATTCGACGGTTTCCTCAATATATTCCCGAACCATCTCCATTTTTTCCTACATATTTTTTGAGCGATTGGCCCTTGGTTGGTTTGTTCCCACAGTTTCTTGTTACTTATTCTTTCTGGCCTGCCGGCTGGCAATTCGATCTTCAGTATGGAGCCAGTGAATGCAGCTGCTGATAAAAGTCTGCAGCGGCCTGTTGGAAATCCTTTTCGTGACGCGCTGGCCAAGTTTCTGACCCGTATAGAAGGACGGACTTGACATTGGTGTTGAAAATCCGAATATTGTTGTTAATGCTGAGTGGGTGCAGAAGATTTCCAAACTGGTTTCAGGTTGATGAAGGCGTATCTCGCCTTTCCGATTCTGACTGGCTTTGACATCTTCATCCGTTTTGGCTGCCTGTAGTTGAAACGATGCTTCCTGGTTGGATAAGTGAAGGAGGTAACCTCTGTCAAATCTCTCCCGTTGACGGTGATTGGTGCTAATTGTTGTTGTTGTTGTCGTTGCGGTTTGTTCGTTGGTTGTCCTCATCACCTCCGTCTTCTCTATGTTCACTTGGAGTCCTGTTTTCGGTGCCAGCCTCTTCAGCCAGTTTGTTGCTTTTCTCCTGTGAGTTTTCGAGTCTGTGTGACATCAGACATAATCCACGCGTGAAATCCAGATCATCTGGAGTCTTGTCATCTGTGGTCCAGCGTACTACTGTCTCCTCGCTCTATCCACAGTCTGACACATAATCCAGTCCACCACCATTAAGAATATCTTCAGTGTTAATAGACAGCCAGTTCTGTCTTACTCCTGTGTTCACTTCGAACGTCTTGCTGAGTTTTCTGTTGTGGATCACCTGACACATGCCACTCTCATATAGCTGTTGAACGAGGTTGACAAAGACTGCACACCGTAGTTTTGAAGCAGTTTCCGAATTACTTCTCAGTCAACGCTGTCTGTGGAAGGCCTTTTCAAGTCGATGAAGTTGATGTAGAGGTTTGACTGCCATCCCATGCATTGTGCGATGACGATGCGTAGAGTTTCAGTTTGATCAGCACATGAATAACTTTTCCTAAATCCAGCTTGTTCCGTTGGCCGGAGCTTTGTATCCAGTGCATCTTTTATTCTCTCCAGGATAATGCGACTTAGTATTTTACTTGGCCTGGACAACAGCATTATTCTACGCCAGTTTTTGCAGAGGCCTAGGTCGCCCTTCTTTGGCAGTTTGACAAGGTAATCTTTCTTCCAATCAGTAGTTATCTTTCCTTTGTTCCAAACCTTTTTCAATAGTGGCGTGAGCACATCTGTTGCAGTCTCTGGATCCGTTTTCAGTGCTTCTAGGGGAGTTTCATCTGGTCCTGCTGCCTTCCTGGCTGATCTTCAGTAGCTTGATCACACTTAAGATTTCTTTCGTTGGAGGATTGGTGTCCACTGGCAGCTCTGTGCGTGCTGTCAATGGTGGTATTTCTGGGCGAGTTGCAGGTGACGGTCGATTCAAGAGTACTTTAAAGTGATCAGCCCATTGTTTTATTTGTTCCTCCTCCTTAGTAATCGGGTCCCCATGAACATCTTTTATTGGTTTCATCATCTGGCTTGATCTCTTTTCGGATAGAGACCTGGTTATTTGATTTAATGTCCTGAGATCTCTTTTGCCTGCGCCATGTCGGTTCTACTTCAGTTGCCGGCCAGTGTGTTGAAGAATTGCCTTTTGTGTTTCCTAGCACTCTTTTTCACTTCTTTATTCAGTGCGGTGTACACTGAAGTCAGCTTCTCCTTCTATTGTGCATCTTTGCATTGAGTTATCTTCTCTTTCACCATCCTCCTCTCCTCGATTAGCTTCCAAGTATCCGTTGAGAGCCATTCCTTGTCGTGTCTCTTCTCTCTCGCTAGAACATCTGTACACGTTTCCTTGAACATCACCTTCAGAGAATTGGTTCAAATGTTGTTCCACTCAGGTTCCCTCAGTGATGCTACTTAGTATCTCCAAATTTGTTCTAATGTGATCAGAAGTGAGGGCATCCCTTGTAGTTTCGTCCTTCAGTTTCTGAATATTGAACGTGAATTGTGGCCTGTCTCCAGTTGTTTCGAGGGATTTCAGGTTAACCTTGAAGATTCCTTGAACTAGATGATGGTCTTAGCTCCCACCTGCTTCCCTTCTCGACTTTGTGTCCAGCGGGTCGCGTCTCCACTTCCTTGAGCAGCATTGAGATGAAATCTATCTGTTTCGTCGTGTGTCCGTCAGGCGAAATACATGTTACCTTGTGTATATCCTTGTGCTTTTACACGTTGCCTCCAATCACCAAATCATTGAAAGCGCAGAAATGTAAGAATAGTTCTCCGTTCTCATTCATTTCTCTGAGGGAGAGCCTCTCGACTCATAATGAGTTCTTTTCCTACATTGTCTGCTCCCAGTTCGGCTTGCATTCATATTGCCCATAGGATTTGGATGTCGCCATTCGGGATGTTGTCCATCACTGTTTGTAGTTGTCTATAAAAATATTCCTTCTCTTGTTCCGCGTTTTTTGTAGCACTGTGCGTACGTAGCATTGGATAATTGTGAGACACCTTCCTGCCTCTTGAGCTGAATCTTGTTGTCATAATCCTGAGGGATGAAATTGGTTCCCACTGCATTAGAGCTTTGGCTGCCACTGGCGGCATCATGATAGCCACTCACTCCCTCAGTGTGCTCGTGTTTGTCATCTCAGTGACCGGAGTAGATTACTGACTCTCCAGTTGACAGCTTAGATAATCCACATCCATTCCATCTGCTCTCGTAGATACCCAGCACTTGTATGCCATATCTTCGCATTTCGTTGGCTACCTGGGCAGTCTTCCCAGTCTCGTACATTGTGTGGACATTCCACGTTCCCTTTCTTATTCTGGCTTGCATCGAGAGAAGTCACGTCGGTTGGCTGACTGGCTTCCCGATGGCTTTCACCAGCCCGCTGTGTTCTTTGAATTTTTTGTATGTTTAATATATTTTTTGTGTGTTGAAGTTTCTCTAGCGGTTTGATAGGTTAAGTGGTGTGGAGTTGCTAGCCCTACGCCCAACCCTCTCTCTTTACCCGGGCTTGGGAGTGGCTAGAAAACTTGCAAGCTAGTTAACTAGGCGAGGTTTTTCTATTGTAGTATCCTTATATATTTGTTGCCTGTTCGCATGATTCCTCAAATATACTGTGTTCTGATGATCACTTGTGCTATTATTATTATTCCCTTAGATTCCTAGTGGAACATAGGGCTTCAAATGCACGTCTCCACTTGCTTCTGTCTTCTGTTGTACTTTTCACTTGCATCGATGTTAGTCCATACTGTTTCAACTCCTCTTCACACGATCTCCTCCATGTCACCCTTGGATGTCCCACTCGCCGCTTCCCTTTTGGGTTCCACTCGAGCACTGGCCTGACGCGTGATGTCACCCAGCTGCCTCCTCAGTGAGTGTCCAATCCATCTCCACTTTCTCCTGCATATTTGTTGAGCGATTGGTTCTTGTTTTGTTTGTTCCCATAGTTTCTTGTTGGTGATTCTTTCCGGTCGGCCATCTGATCTTCAGTACAGAGCGAAGACAGCTGTTGATAAAGGTCTGCAACAGGCTGTTGGAAATATTCTTTGTGACACAATGGTCAAGTTTCTGATCCGTATATAAGAACTGACTTGACGTTTGTATTGAAAATCCGGATTTTGTTGTTGATGCTGAGTGACGAAGATTCCCAGATTGGTTTCAGTTTGATGAATGTGTTTCTCGCCTTCCAGATTCTCGATTTGACATCCTCGTCCGTTCCACCTGTAGTTGAGACAATGTTCCCTAGATAAGTGAATGAAGTAACCTCTTTCAAATCCCTCCCGTTGATGGTGATTGGCGCTGGATGTTGCTGCTGTTGTTGTTGTTGTTTGTTGGTTATTTTCATAACCTCCGTCTTGTCTATGTTCACCTGTAGTCCTGTCTTTGCTGCTTCTCCGACCAGTTTGTCGGTTTTCGCTTGTAAGTCTTCGATTTTGTGTGACATCAAACATAAATCATCTACGCGGGAAATCCAGGTCTTCTAGGTTCTTCACGCCGGTCCAGGATATCCCTGTCTTCTCGTTTCCTACTATCTGACGCATAATCCAGTCCACCACAATTAGGAATATCGTTGGTGATAATAAGCACCCTTGTCTGACTCCTGTGTTTACTCGAAACGCCTCGCTGAGTTTTCTGTTGTGGATCATTTGACATGTGCGGTTGTCGTACAGCTGTTCAATAAGGTTGATGAATATTTGTGGTACGCCGTAGTACGCTTGTGCTATGTTGCACATTAATTTGTTTGTTTAGCGAGCTGCAAACATTTCTACATTATTTCACGTGAGTTATTGGCGATAATACTCACTTTTCATCTCTTTTCTTTTTCCAAGATAATATCCGAAATTTGGCTATGGAAAAACTTGCCTCCAGTGTGTTATTTCCCTGTAAGTACTCTACTAGTGGTTGCCCAGAAACTTTCCACTATACATCAAAATCGGAGCATGAAGCGGTTTGTGAATATAGGTGAGTTTTAAGTAAGCTATTATTTCCATATACTCGGATGCATTTACTACTAATAGTCTTCCGTCACCGTATAACTCCTGTGTAAAGTATAATTTCACGTAATCTGTCTAAAAGGGACTTATCAGAAATGCTTTTTTTGAGTGTCACTTATAAAATTGTCAGTCGAAAAAATAAAAGCGTCGCATTAAATAATGAATACGATTGCTTCATCTAAACACTTAAATGATGTTTCACTTGTCCAAACTTAATATATATTATTTCCTACCTCCACAAAATTGTCTGTTGCGAAATCCCACACAATTATTCACTTTCCGCAAGTAATATGCAACCGAAACTTAGTAACAGTTTTTGAGTGTCACCACGTTAAACTGGATTAATGAATACATGGAACTGCATTTATCCAGGCTTAACCAGTTCATTTTTCGAAGGTAAAGCAGGTAAGTAGTAAAGTAATTTGGTTTCACGAGACTGTCTTAAAAAATCAGGGTTGAGAAAATATTAATAATTGGTGGTAGTCAGTACCCGACTAAAGTTCGATAGACGACGACTACAGGCTTAAGATTGCTAGTGGTAAAAAAAACTGATAGTGTAGGTGGAACCAAAAATCATTATCAATGGCGCAGATGTATTCACCCATTGTGATCTTCCAGATTTTGAAAGTCCTCTCAAATCTTCATTTCATTCTTTCTCCCACACATTTTTCCCCATCATAGTTCAAATACATTCTGTTTTCAAGTCTACTTGTTTTCTTTTTCAAAGTGTAACAACTTGAATTGATGTACTTTTGGACAAACTTAAACTTTGATTGTTCACTTCAGCATTCCTCCATAACTCGAACAGAACAGCAGTTTTCGTAGCAGTCTGCACATGGTTACCAAGTTTTGTTATTTTATGATTACCTAAAGTTGTTAGCGTTGTTTTAAATGGACTCATCATTCATAAAGTGCTTGTGTAAGGTCTCTTAGATCAATGGCTTAATAACTTATTTCTAGTCACTGGTCCATTCTAGTTTACATAACCGAACCACAAATCGTACTGATTATTTGATACAAATTATCTATCCAAACCTCGATAAATTATCTGAGATTTCAAACTGAAGTTGTAGAGGAATGAATCACAAATTTACAGTTTTAAATATATTTTAAACGATTCTAGGCTTGGTAACAAACCTGTAGGGGTTTAACCATTGATGTGAGTTTATTGTTTATTTCGTGATTTTTTAAGGTTTGTGCACAGTGCTTTTCTATGTGCGATCAATGTATATATGTGTAACTCTTCTTTTAGACCTTATGATTGTCCGTGTCCTGGTGCCTCATGCAAATGGCTTGGTGAATTGGAACAGGTTATGCCTCATCTTATGCACCATCACAAGAGTATTACAACTTTACAAGGTAAGATTAACGAAAACAGTCTTCCCTGTGTTTTTCCAAACTGTAATGCAACTCAAGCTAATATCCCTAATAAGCTAGTAGTCGTAAGATCAGTTTCTTCCCTGATTATTTTCAAGGAAATCGGAAGATAAGTTTGTCTAAAATTTTGGTCTGTCGTCGAAACATGAGTCAGTGTAGCCTTCATTCAGAGTAATGACCCATACTAAGGATTTTTTTCTTACTTTTCAGTAGGCATTTGTGATTGATTAAATGGTAGTTCTTGTTGACTAACACTGGCTTCATTGTGTGGTCTGTACTTTTCTAATCATTCGTTCTATGCCATATATTGTTTTCTTTGCATTCTAGGTGAAGATATTGTATTTCTCGCTACTGACATTAGCCTTCCGGGTGCTGTGGACTGGGTCATGATGCAGTCTTGCTTTGGACATAGTTTTATGTTGGTGCTTGAGAAGCAGGAACGTGTACCAGATCAAATATTTTTTGCTCTTGTCCAACTCATTGGAACACGTAAACAAGCAGAACAGTTTGTCTACAGGTAAGTACACATTTTTCAAATTATAATTTGATGGGTCATGAATTTAACATTTTGTAATGTTAAAGCCAGTATTGCATATAGATAGTGTTCCATCAGTTTTGTATTAGATTATGGCATCAGTACAATAATAGACTGTCCTGTTTTGATGCACAAACCGGTCATACATTTATGTATACTGTGGACATCTGATCGTAAGAAATTAGCGATCGAAATAGAGCTACCTACCTAAATAGTTAGAACTCTGTGAAGATTAATGATTCTACCCAATCCCCTAGACTGAAGCAGGATTTGAACCGTCCATCCACTGCCTAAAATGGTTAGAATCTATAAGTCCTATTATTCGAAAATCAATGACTAGGAAGTTGAGTATGAAAGCCGGTAAACTAAAACCATGTGGTTTTAAGTACGACACATCTTACTGCATCTATCTGATCAATGTGTTAACCACATAAACACATTTGCACCGGTAATAACCATTTTTAAATTCATTCCATCTTGTAGTATTGACCGATTAGTTAAAAACACAGTACATCAGAATTTATTGAATGTCTTTTCGGATGTAGTTCCTTTATCTGAGTTATAAGGCAGTGAATGACAAAATGAATCAATTTTGAGAAAACTGCAGGCTGTTTGTTGAAATTATACAGGCAGTCTATTTTTTACTGGAATTTGTGGAGTATTTAGGTAAGCTCTACTGTCCACGCCTAATACAAGTAGTGCGCACTTACTCCCATAAGGTTTTGCACGTTGTATATTTTATTTCATATATCTTAATTGTCGTTCTCCAATGACCATTTCTTATCAGTTTCTTCTCTACCATGTTATTTTGAATGAAGATGTAGCCCACTATCTGTGACATCTGGTACCCGACTTTCAGCTTCTTCCTACCTTGATCTAAGCCGTCGGTTAGTATCACAAACCCTCACAAATTATATGTAACCTGTACAGTGCAAGCATGTTACATTCTCTTTTACTGATGTTTTCAAAGACTGCAATATAAACCGATATGACTAATTTAACGACCTACTTTAGTTCAATCGATTAAAGTTAACTGTTTCACAAAGTGCACTCTGTAAGCTCTCTTTTTCTTCCTTTGTATACAGGCTTGAACTGAATGGACATCGTCGACGACTAACCTGGGAGGCCTGTCCACGTAGTATTCATGATGGTGTCCAGTCTGCAATCGCCGTATCTGATTGTTTAGTTTTTGATTCAAATACAGCTCATTCATTTGCTGAAAACGGAAATTTAGGAATTAATGTCACCATTTCCCAAGTTTCTCCACCTATTTCATAATCATATACATCTACTACATCTTATCGTTTTTTTTTCTAACTTTGCTGTATGTTTTTCATCTTTTTATTGTTGCCGTTAGTCTTTTCAGTATTATGATTTCTTACTTTTGTTGTTATCAGTCTTTTACGGTAGCATAGAGCACATATCTTCTCATCTCTATATCTTTCCCATCTAAACTGTGAATTGTACACTATATTATATTAGTTAATGAGTCAGTGTGTGCTCGCACACCTCCTCAAAGGATGTGTGGCTTTATAATATAATATAACTGCATTTTATTTTATTTTTTCTGTACAACTTCCCTACTTTGTGTATAAGTTTGTTTTCAAGCGCCTTAAATACGATTACTTCTCCTGTTCACGTTACTTTTGGGTCCCTACATCACTTTAGTTGGATCATTTCTACCTAACCATTCAATGTATTTTGTTTCCTAATTACATCTAGTCTGTGTGTACATAACAGTTGATTTCATCTATTTTATTGTGAAAAAAGTTGTCTCCATTTTCACTATCCCCCTACAATTACTTAAGCGTTTGTTAAATAACCAAATAGATAAACAGAGGGGAGAAACAAATTTCACTGATATGTTGCTTGTTGTATTATTTTGTTAACCCTCCTTTGTATTCTTGTTTTCATCCACTACTCTTTTATATTCTTTGTGTCTGTCGCCCAAAATTTTCACAGACATAATTTCGGTTTCTAAACTCTGTGTTTTAACAGTTTGTAACAAAAACAGCTTTATAGACAAGGTTAGTATCAACTTGACGAAGCCAAAAAGAAAAAAACACTAAGAGTACTATGTACTACAACATTTTATTTAAATACGATAGTTTACTTAATTTTGATTTTGTCAATAACAAATTACTTTCGTTTCTTTCCTACAAATGACTTTTCCTTTGCTTACTGCTTATTTATGCAAACATACTGAGGAAACATACACGCACGCACGCACTTTTTCCAAACACAAACTTAAACACAGTTAAATTTTTGAATGGGAATTGTGAACGGTGGACCTTATCTTCTTGTTGCAAAATAACTTGTGGATAAATTATAGTTTGTAGTTGAGTATACATGTGTTTTAAAATGTCTCAACCAGTTTATATATATTCGTGATTCTATGTGTGTATCGGTTGTTGTGATACTTTATTCAGTGGATGTTCATTCGTCCTCTTTTTCCGACTTGGTTTCACCATCCAAATCGAAGTTTAGTGACGCCATTTGAAATTCTAGATATCTCATTATAACTAACATTTGTAATTTCTCTACTTTCACTAACAGAATTACATTTTGGAATTACTTGTCTAGAAATATGAAATTTTGTATTGTTCATGGCCTTAGTCCTTTGAAAAACAAGTACTATTGTCCATTAAAGTCTATTAGACTGCGGTTATAAAAGTTCTGGTTGATAAGTAGTATTCTGTCCTATAAACGTGCAGGAGTACTCATTAATAAAACGTAATATTATTTCCTGAAAAACGGTTTTGTATTGTTACTGAACTTCTGGCTCAATAGCGCGTAGTAAAATGCAATTATCTCTCTTTTTCAACTTCAAACAGTCCTTAATTAGAAATAAAACCACACATTAAGCCTGCATATCAAGTAGAGGATAGTGACTGGTATCTCGACAGGTCACATGGTAAATACCGTTGGTGTTTGCGCCCTATATCCCATTTTAAACGGTATTATTATCGAGGTTAGGTATAGAGTGTTAAATAAGGATAGCAAATCGATTGAAGAGATTGTGAAGCTATATCAGTTAAGATTACTCAGACACATGTTACATGTGCCAAGCCATCACCTGATAGGACTGGGTTAGAAAAAGATAAGAGGTAGTCGAAACAAAACATGGCATCAAGATATGATTATACATATCTCTTAATTTTTCTGTACATCCGTATTCCCATTAAAATTTTGGACTGAATCAATTATCCTTTATTTACATATTCCTTTAGGATAAGTACCTGAACCTTTCACTTTGATATTTATTTTCGATGATATTCGTACCAAAACGCGGAACCAATCAGGACTAAAGGCGTATGTATGTATGTACAACTATCCGTAAATGCAAATGTCCATCTGGCTTATTGTGCGTAGCCTTATTTAATTAGTATAACTTAAGCACATAAATGAGGCTGTCAGCTAATCAGTCACGTGGTCAGTTGTTAAGTTTGGAGAAGCACATATCTTAAATTTAGAGTGGGCAAGTGTTTCTTATTACATCCAATGTACTTAGATCCATAAAAGTAAATGGACTTGAAAATACACACTGGCGATTTCCAATGATCCAACTTGGCTTTCATTCACTGCTGAATCGCTTGTTGCTTGCCAAAGTCCCATAGTAGAATGTTCTATTAAAGGGGCTTCAGATAGCCTTTTGTACATCTGTTGGTTAACTCTGACTTATGATCAGAAATGTATCCGGAACATCCTACCCTACTACTTAATTTATATAGTTTTTCCATCTATCACACATTCACATAGTCCCAATAAAAAATCACTAGATATTATAGAAATATCTAGGACATGAGTCACATATATCAAGTTCATCTCTGCCACGATGCCTTAAGGTATAGAGAAGAAAACTTGTGAGAAAGCTAGGAACAACTAAATTAGGACGTGTTGCTGAAAAAACTTATAACTATGCGGCTGGCGTCTGTGAGTTGCCCGAAATCAGTAGTTAAATTTCCAAAATAATATGGGTCCTTGTTGATTATAAAATTTTTATGTTTCTTCTTGCTGAAATTTTTGCTTTATGCACTTACACTGACTAAAAAGTATCTTTTGAGTAAATAAATGGGAGTGTAGAACAAGTCGTTCCTGATAATGGACTCTCAGTAATTTTTGATTTATCTTCGCAGCTGATGCTGTTGTTTTATATTTATCTTTAATTACCTCATATAACAGTAAACATAGTAAAGTATTTTACATGGATATAAATCATAAAATCAGAGAAGTACATTTAAATTAGTAATCCCCGCTCAGACATAAAACAAAGATTTCTGCAGAGAAAATTTTCTTTGCGAATGTTTCATAGTTGTACGTATATGACCAAACAAGCTCGTCAAATCAATCGAACCTTCAGCGATCAGTTTGTTTATTTGTGCAGATCGAAACACGGTGTGGACAGTTGGATTTTCAAGGGACAAGAACTCGGCAGCGGCGTTGTGGTGCAATTGTGTTTCTCTATAATACTTCATATCATCACTAATAAATACACCTTCGATCGGTCGTAAATGTTATATTCTCCCTTCACTAGTCAGGGTGGTGTTAAGAACAGTCTCGCCAATAGGCTAGATGAGCCAGACTAAAGAGTCTGCCAGTAGTTTGGTTAAGGCTTGGGTTATTTATTTCTATTTGAAGCCAACAGAAAACGAGTTCGAAGTCGTTCAAGCAGCCTAACTTATTGGTTTCCTAAACTGCAATCGCACTTATGTATGCACTACAATAGACAATAATAAGTGTTTTTTTGTATGTGTATGTTCAATTCTGATGGCATGTAGAGATACTGAAGTATGGTAATATCAGTTTAGATTACTATGAATAACAAAATAATTAGAGATATGAATGAGTAAAGAAAGGTTAGCACAAATAGTTAAATGGTGATCAGAAATGTAATGGAAATGCCACTATATGTCAATCATTAACATCGGTTGTTAAGAAGACATATGAAACTACATATCAAGGGAAAATGGATAGACTGAGAAACTTAGATTTTTTTATTCCTTTACATTCCCAGTAGAACATAAGGCTTCAAGCTAGAATTTTGAAGTTTCGGTAGCAGTGATGTTTATTTTTACGAGACAGAGTTGCTATCCTCATGCCCAACCTTCGCTCTTTACCAGTCTTATTACTGGCTTAGTGAGGTAAAGGAGCGAGTTGGCTGGGGATCCAACCCCAAAACATTAAATGATAACTAGAGTTTAGAAATGATTGCCATTAAAAATGTCAGGTCTTGGAGACGGGAAAACAAGTGAATCATAATTTATATCAGGTATATTTTAAAGTTAGGAGTTTTAAAACAAAGAAAAAGCAAAGATGGATTACATACTAAATTATTTCAAAAGTCATAATGAGAGTTCAAAGACACTGTAGTAATAAGGACTGGATAAACCGATTCTGTATACATAGTTCATGGTTCTACGTACGTATGGTGGGAGCTCCCACTATTTCGTACTTTATTCATTATTTTCCTGACACGTAATCTCATCTGTTTCGTTACTAATTAATCATTAACAGCATCTCCGAGATCTTTTAGTAAATTATATAACTACACACCTTTGAAGAAAGTTTAAGAAAAGAGTATTCTGCTATGACCAATGTCTTTTTCATTTGAATTTTATTGGGAGGTGATTTTTAAAAATTATTAAATTAAAATGTTAATTGTGAAGCTAATGGAAAATTTGTCTCAACACACATGAAAACATATTTTGATTACAAAGGTGAACGTGCCAGGTATATATCGTCCAGTGATAAACGTGATTGCCACACTGGTAGTGGCAACAAAAGATCACAAGTACAGTTTATAGCGGTAGGTAACTACCCAGAATTATCAGCCACAACATTCATCACTTAACATCGGTTTCTGACCCTCACTGTTTAAGTCGACTTGTTTAGCTGAAGGCTTACGATTAAGCATCCACGCAATTTGGTACTCCGTCGTGTCACGTTCGTTCGTTCGTGCACGATCCCTAGCTAGCTAAGCAGTCATCTCGCACTCCAATTTGGTCCCGAGACATATCTCGTAATCTGGATGATCAATTCTTGTGTTTGGCTTTGCCCGTGGTCTACGCGGAACGAGTACTGTAGAAGTTGTGGGTATAGGGTCTTGCGTTAGTATACTTTGTACAATCCATGAATGTCAATACCCTCAGCCTCTAAACTGGTGAGCCTTACCGCGAAATTCATCTTTGGTAAATACACAGACGCAGTCAGTGAAATCGTCCCATTTTGTATTTGTTCTTGCACAATTTTTGAATTATATATTTCCCCATGAGTGACCATGCTCCAAAGCTCATCCGTATCCGACAAACCTGCAATTTTATTTAGCTCGTACCATTTTGGCCAGGTAATGTGGAATCATAGTTTCAGATACCTGAGTCTAATTTTGGTGAACAAGGGATCACTGATCAACGTCTACAGTTTCTCGCAGTTATCTACACTCTCCCGCAGGAATTAAGCAAATGCGTAACTGTGCAGATGTCAAGCACAGAGGTAAGAAACCCATATGAAATACTTAAAGCAACTCTGTCAAAGAAAAACGGTCTCATGGATCTGCAGTGTCTTGACGAGCTATTCCTCAATGTCGAGTCAGGTGATCCGTCGGCTGTGAACAAGCTAACAAGAAAGTTGGAAGTTATTGGCCAACGTCACCTCGATGAGGGAGAGAGCTGTTCCTTCCTAAATGGTCAGTACAGGCTGTGCTTGTGACACTCCAAGGTGTTATGACAGACGACTTAGCTAATTCTGCCGATAAAGTTCTAGAAACAACACAACGGCCAGTCACTTAAATATGTTCAACGGCTAAGAAGACTTCGAGTAGTGATAGAACTAGTAAACTCCGTTAAGCAGGTACTTTGAACAAATAGTCCCCGTGTTTCCTCCTATCGTCGGCAAAATTCCCACCAACGGCGAAACCCACGCGGTCGGTCAAAATCCGCACCACGTCCACTAAAAACCCTGACTGGTGTCGGTATCACAAGCGAAATGTTGCAGAAATATCTGCTATTTCAGCAAGGAATCCGTGACTAAGAAACTATCCCGTTGGCACGCGTTAGCGGAAACCGTCGCCGGTGGCACTAGTCTCCTACTTTGTATTCGTGATTTTATCAACCAGACCCAGTACTTTGTCGACACAGGTGCCGAAGTCAGCGTCCTTCCTGCTACAGCAGCAGATCGACAGATAGAACCTATTTTCAACTTACAGGCTGCAAACGGAAAACCAGTTGAAGCTTTTGATAGCAAATTCGTTTACCTGAACGTAGGTTTACGCAAGCCTATTCAGTGGATTTTCCTTCTCGCTGACGTCACAATGCCCATCAATGGCACGGACCTACCTAATCATCATGATTTACTCGTCCGCCTGAAAAGACTGACTGACAATGCTACTAGACTGTCTATCAAAGCTTGCCACTCGTTAAGATGAAGGCAATCCTTGATCCAACTTTTCAACCGATTGTTGATAAATATCCGGAACTTAATTGTCCGTCTAACGATCTCCCGTGCATAATTAGCAATGTTATGCACCACATCATAACCTCCGGACAACCCGTGACATCTAAAGCACGACGAATTGCTCCTGACAAACTACAACTCGCTATAAATTAGTTCGACCATATACTCACCCTTGGCATCATTCGGCCATCGAATAACCCATGGGCATCCACACTGCATATGGTTCCAAAAAAAGATAGCAACGATTGGCGACCTACTGGTGATTACGGCCGAGTGAACGCTAAACAACCCCTGATTGCTATCCATTGCCTCACAAACACGACTTGACGGCAACATTATCTGGCGCAACTATGTTCTCGAAAATAGACTTGGTTGAAGCATATAACCTAATACCGATGGCACCAGAAGATGTTACGAAAACGGCTATCATCGCGCCTTTCGGACTTTCTGAATTTCTACGTATGCTATTTGGCCTCCGGAATGCGACCCAAACATTCCAACGCCTCATCGATGAAGTATTTCGCGGTCTCGACTTAGTATACGCATACTTAGACGACTGTCTTATTGCCAGTCCAAACGAGGAAACTCACCTTAGACACTTGGACTTGGCATTTGAAAGGTTACGCCTACATGGTGTAACCATTATTATTCAAAAGTGTCAGATAGGCGTTGACTCACTCAACTTTCTGGGCCACACCACTGACTGCAAGTGTATTCGCCCACTGGCTAGTAAAGTTAGGGCGATACTGGGCTTTCTAAAGCCACAGACATTTGAAAGTTTGCTCACTTTTAACGGCTTGGTAAGTTATTACTGACGGTTTATTCCCAACTGTGCCTCTCTGAATCAGCCATTGACAGACCTTCTTCGAGGAAATAACAAGTCTGTCGAACCGGACGCGTCTGCTCGACATGCTTTTACTCAGGTAAAAAAAGCTATTGCGGATGGCACACTTCTTATGTATCAGGATCCAGCGGCACCCTTAAGTGTCTCAGTTGAAGTATCAGACACGGCAATCGGCGCAGTTCTGCGACACTTAGCCAACTAAGAGTGGCAACCACTCGCCTTTTTCTCAAGGCGCCTTCAATTAGCAGAAACGAAGTACAGCACATTCGGCAGAGAACGTCTGGCTTTGTATTATGCAATACATCACCTCCGACATTCAGTGGAGGGTCGGTAATCCATAATATTCCCTGACCACAAACCTCTTACGTACTCTCTGAACTCAACTTCAGGTATGTACTCACCTAGAGAATCCCGACAAATGGACTACGTTTCACCGTTTAAATCGGACATTCACCACAAAAACACTGTGGCATATGCCTTGTCGCGCGTTTGCCCTCCCATCCAAATAGATGTTATAGACCTCGCGAAACTGGCTCGTCTTCAAAAAGAAGATACTGAGCTTCAACATGAGTTGTCGAAAACAACTCTGCAATTAGCCGAGAAACCCCTAGGTATGCGAAGAGATACTATTCTGTGTGACGTTTCCATGGGTACCACTTCCCCATCGGCCGTAACATCTTCAAAATGTTGCATGGCTTATACACCCAGGTATTCGAACTACTGTCAACCTCGTAACTAGTCGGTTTTGTTGGCCTGGTATTAATAAAGAAGTAAGGGAATGGGCACACACGTGCTTAGCTTACCAAAAGTGCAAGGTAGTAAGACACACTAAAAGCCCTCTTGGCACCTTTCTTATCCCTGATGCCCGTTTCGAACACGTCCATATAGATTTAGTTGGACCCCTTCCAGAATCTCATGGATGCACCTATATGTTAACCTGCATCGATCGCTTCACACGATGGCCTGAAGCAGTACCCATCAAGGATATATCTGCTGAAACTGTCGCACGCGTCTTCGTAGAAAGATGGATCGCAAACTTTGGATGCCCATCCTCCATAACAACTGATCGCGGGTGGCAATTCGAAAGCGGCTTATTCTTCGCTCTGACTAAAATCATAGGTTGTATGCGTTTTCGAACAACAGCCTACCATCCTCAGGCTAATGGTATGGTAAAGCGTCTACACAGACAGTTAAAGGCTGGGTTATCAGCTGCAAACAATACCCACTGGACAGAACCACTTCCGTTAGTTCTCCTAGGGATACGAAACGCCTTGAAAACCGATGCTGATTGTACTACCTTCGAGTTAGTATATTGCACAACACTATGACTGCCAGGTGAGTTTGTTTCTCCTTCGAGCTTCTCGCCAGTGGCAGATAATGCCCCATACGTCAGCAGGCTTACAAACGCAATGCGTTCAGTTAAACCTTCTCTCATGCGACCACGGTCCATAGACATATTTGTTCACCCGTTTTTTAAAACTTTTTGCTTGTCTTGACTCTGTGCGTCGCCCTCTGGAACCCTCATACGCCGGACCATATAAAGTCATTAAACGTATGGATGAATTCTTTGTCGCGAGGACACCGTCAGTATCGACTGTCTGAAACCGGCCTACATAGAAGGCAATCCTATTAGCCTAGAGCTTAGCATTCCCAATAATCCACAAGTGACCGAATATCCTTTAGTCCTTGAAGAACTCACTAACACGTCAAAAGCCGCCAAACCTCCTGTCGAGTACACAAAAAAACGCGTCTTGGACGAAACGTGCGATTCCCAGAACATCTTAACACTTTTATCACATAACTAAGTGATGCGATTCACCCAACTCTTATTCGTTTGTGGTATTTATTTTTTTCTTTCCGACACATCACTTTTTTATGTAGCATCACGCAACACAAGTAAAAAGATTCTCTATAACCGTACATGTATATCTTTTTTCGATGTTCTATTTCCGCATTATTTTACTGTATGGCAGATACATAATATTTCTCAAACGTTACTTTTGGTACATCTTCCTCTACAACGTTCTTAGCATTCTAGTTTTCTTTTCCAGGTGTGACGGGCACTGGACAAGAGGCAAACGAAGCAGGAGATCCAACGGACAAACATCTAGGAAGCGATGTACAGACACCTTATTCGCATAGGTAGACGACTAGCAGGCACTACATCAAGCCGCTCCGAAGTTATTTTGCCGATGGGAAAACCATTGGGATTTTACTTCCGGCTAGTTTTGACTTAGGGTCCTCACAACCCCACTAGGAGGTGAGCTGTAGCGGTCATACACAACATTCATCACTTAACATCGGTTTCTGACCCTCACTGTTTAAGTCGACTTGTTTAGCTGAAGGCTTACGATTAAGCATCCACGCAATTTGGTACTCCGTCGTGTCACGTTCGTTCGTTCGTGCACGATCCCTAGCTAGCTAAGCAGTCATCTCGCACTCCAATTTGGTCCCGAGACATATCTCGTAATCTGGATGATCAATTCTTGTGTTTGGCTTTGCCCGTGGTCTACGCGGAACGAGTACTGTAGAAGTTGTGGGTATAGGGTCTTGCGTTAGTATACTTTGTACTATTCGTGAACATCAAAGCCTTCAGCCTCTAAAATATCACTGTTGTTTCCTGCTATTCCAAACGAATTATTACCGATGTATTTGACCTTCGTTGATCCAAGTTCAATGAACAAGTTTGTGAACAATTTTATTCAGTACAGTATGTTGCTTAATTTTGTATTAGTTCCCTGTCAGCCGAGGAGTGATTATTCGAAAAACCTGTATTACGAATTTGTGCATATAGTTTAAAAATGAACAAAAAATTAAAGGTGATCTTTTCAAATATTTTAACATTGAATATGTTGTTTAAATCCCTCAAAGGTTGTTAATATAACGACTCTAGGTTTTCCCACTGATACAGATTATTACCATTTACTGCGAGTCTTAAGTCGAATTACTGAATTTTCTTACATAAGATGCTGGCTCTCCGTAATCAGATACAAAGGGTTGCATTCAGGTAGTTCTTGTTACTCAGTTTTCGCCTATCATCTTTTTATTTAGAAGGTGCTTGTCAGGTTGGTCTGATGGACTCCGTAATCAGACAAAACTTTCCGAAAACGTTTATTCCCGAGAAGACAAACATGGGGCTCACAATTATCACCCCTTACCAGTAGCGCTTTCCAGGGGCAAAGGTACACATATATAGCGATTTATTATTTTTCCAGGTATTTACGTATGGGATGTTGATGGGAACTGCTATATTGACTTTTTGAGCGCTTACAGCGCAGTAAATCAAGGGCATTGCCACCCACGCATTATTGACGCTCTGAAAGCTCAGGCAGAGCTGTTAACTCTGACTTCACGTGCCTTTTACAACTCTGCGTTGGGAGAATACGAGGAAATGGTTACCAAAATGTTTGGATACGACAAGGTTTTGCCAATGAATACGGGTAAGATTCCGCACATAACTGTGATTTATTGAATGCCGAGAATTCAAATATATGATGTAGAGTTAAAGTATCATAGCCAAATTCAAGCTCTTACAAAGTTGACCTACAAGAACCGATAGTGCACAAGGAATGCTATGAAATGTCATTCCAAATCAAATCGTGTCGGTCTTTTTGAACCTATAGAGGGTAGATACAGTGTTCTACTTATTTACTAGGCCCGTTTTTTGCAAATCTATACTGTAAGGTAGGGCTATGACTTTTTATATTAGAGTTAAGTTTAGGTTTAAAGTTAGGATTAGGGTTAGATTAAGAGTATGTTGAAGAATAGTGTCAAGAATATCAATGGATCTCAAGGTGCCATGACTTACAGTCACCTGAATGAATGAGTATATCGTGCATCGTATGGTTTCTCTATAGATTATCTGTGTAGTGACTGGGAGACATTCTTACAACATGTAATATACAACTTTACAGTGTAAAATCATGCTTGCAATATTTTTAGAGTATTTTTCAACAATTATGCTACCTTTTTGCATCTGAATTCTGGCTGGTTGCTCAAGGTCACCGTGGTTTTGGCCATGATAAATTAACTTTGCCCAGCTTCTGTGTATTAATGAAAGCAGATAGTATTAGTAATCAACCTTTGGCTTACGAATAAATTAACTTTGAAGAACGAAATTATGCACCCAGCAACAGTGTACAGGGAATGCATTTCATCAATTTCCGTCTTGGTTTGACACATGAAGATAGGGCATATCCCTTTAGCTTGGGTTGTCATATAACAATGCTAACCAATATATGCGCAAATATGTAACTTCAAATAACAAATTGGTGAGGACTGATGACAGAGCACTACAAATTTCTTGCCCTGAGTATAAATTAGGAGAAGGCTGTATTACTTCTTCGACGCCTTTACTGTGGTCAGCAATACATTAAGATATAATGACAATTTCAGGGGTCAGTTTTGAGCTGCTACTCGTTAACTTTATTGGGAACTCTGTATGTCAACTTTTGAAATTCATATTATTATAAAGATGCTAGGTTATATTTCCATAGTGATGTAAATACCGAAATATAATGCACTTCTCATAATTCCAAGCATTAATGCTCATTTGTTTCCTGTGGGTTAAATTTCAAATCTATTAACTGTTATTCTAGCGAAAACGTAAACTTTGCTTATATTCAGTTAAAATGCTGCCAGATGCACATACCTAATTAAATCACTATTCTCCTGCAGATGCTGTAAATGTTCTGTTACCTACACTCCAAAAATACTTCGTTGTTTAGTTTTTCAATGGCGACTCAAGGGAGGTATGTTATGCTATGTTTTACTACCAAGGTATCAATGTAAAAGGTGGGAGTTTAAATAAATCTATTTCGTGTTTATTTTGTTTAAAACACAGACGAATACGACCTTACATAAATCAAATATGTAAACGCTAATAAACAGCAAATAGCTTGTTTTCTATCATTTGTCAGGTGTCGAAGCCGGTGAGACTGCACTGAAGCTTGCACGGAAGTGGGCTTACAAAGTAAAGAAAATTCCTGATGGACAGGCAAGAACAATATTTGCTGAAGGGAATTTCTGGGGCCGCACTCTGGCTGCTTGCTCTTCGTCAACTGACCCCAGCTGTTATTCAGGATATGGACCATTCATGCCAGGTTTCGTAACTATCCCTTACGATAATTTGAATGCATTAGAAGTAAGTAATCGTAATCACTGTGGCATATAATGAGGGGTTTATTGTAAGATTTTAGGGTGTTCTCATTAGTCCACGTTTCATTTGCTTATCAATATATTTATTCTTTGTTGTGTGATTTTATTCTTATCTGGACGCCAGGACTCATTCTTCAGGTAGTGTGACCTGCATTGTGGAGGAAACAGTTCTTCTCAAGGTCTTTTTGACGTTTTATGCCTTTAACATTTGGCTATGTGGGATATTTGAACATTTTTAAGAGTGATTTTCCTTATACTGAGCTTTTAATGATTACCTTTTATTTCTGAACTGGTGCTAGTTTGAGGGTAAGAACTTCCAAACAGATAACAAATGATATGAACACTTAGTAATTAACTGTCGAGCACTTATGATGTAGACTTTGTAAGAAGAGGCATAACACTTACGACAGTCTATCGGGTTTCGCTAGCAAAGTAGTAATGACAGAACACAGTGGTGATCAGCAGCAAGCGTCTTTCCGTCAAAACGACATATAATGAAGGCGAAATATGAAAACCTCACACTGAAACTTCAATATGCAAAAGTTATTCGTATTCTGCCTCTTTTTTCTTCAGTTCATGCTTCCTATTTTGTCTCATTATGCCCTCTATCTCTTCCCTTTCTAAGTTAATCTGTCACTGTGCTATTCACTTTTCTTGAAGAAGACGTCACCAGTGTACCGTTTAAGAATTCTTGCCAGCATACACCACACCGTCATCATTTTAACAAAAGATATATGTATAGTTAAGATTTTACTCTTTTGTGCTGGACACATAAATTAATGTTTAGTAAACTAACTTCATAAAGTATGACACGAACTTTGATAAGTACTGCGTTTAAATATCTGTCATAAGCATACTTCAGCATATACTCTATCTTTTTCACGAATACCATTCTTTTTGCGGTTTTTAAATGTCTTACGTATTCGCAGTGTATTTAACTGAAGTTGTTTTACGAAGGAAAGAAACGATGCCCCATATTTCACAGGCTTAGGCAATATTATTAGTTTTGGGTAATGTGGAGAGTAAAATAGGTACACATTCAAATGCTAATATATGATCACTGAAAAACGATATATGAAAATAGCATTATATGATGATTCAGAATAAACTCTTAAAATGATTGCAGCCACTATTGCTCCAGTCTTAAGCTGTGAAAATAAATCTTCTGAAGATAACTGCAAAGGAACCACCCTTAATAATATAGTACCTACAGTCCCTAACTTTTGGTTGGGACTTAGAAATCACGAATTGGTGGAAACTTAAGTTTCGCATTTGATCATATAAACAAAGGATTTTTATGACGCTTTCTTTCACTAAAGTGGTTAGATGTTAGGTTCATTTCTGTGCTGTAAGTTTTTATACTGTAATACAGTCGGATTTATTGAGTTATGAGATATCCTGCGAGCTGTCATTCGTTGAAAATGTCAACTCTATCATCTTTTGTTCAACTTTTATCTTCTTATCTCACACCACAATAACATGACGTCTTAAAAAAGATTTCTGAGTTTTATTGAGATACTCAGTCTATGTAATTCTGTAAGACAGAGACCCTGACAAGATCCAGAAGTCTTTCGCACACTGAGAAGTGTAAACTGTTACCTATGGGCTGGTCTTCAATAATATGTTAGTCGACTAAAGATTATGATTTAGTGGATGACACTGTTGGTTTCGTCTGATCAATGTGTTGGTTGATGAATTCATAGTATGGATACGATAAGTTCCTCAGCTTCATCCTCTATCTTACAGATGGGTGGAGCATACTACTAAGAAGTGTTCTTTGTCCTAACCTATGTCACAGACATTTGAAATAGAATACGCCTGAAGACTTTTGATACTTGATCAACGTCACTTGCGTGTCACTGTTGACATGTTATATGGATGGGTTATTAAAAGAAATTACTAATCTTGGTCACCTGAAATGGATCAACTATGTGTACTCATGCTCACTCACTGTCTAACTAGACATTCTGTGTTAAATGAAACTCAATTAAGCTGAAACAAACTAAAGAATGATCAAACCAGGGTAGTGTAACATTACTTGAAATCTTCAGGTGTTGTTCTGAGCTGTATAGAGGAATAAAGTTCACTTGATTGAGGCCGAATCGAAACACGTGTACCTTCAGTAAGAAGTTCTAGATAACTGGGTCTCAGAGGTCTAAACAGATTTATAGCCTATCACAACCCTAAAAGTAATAGTGTATTTCTTTATTTACTTTATCTTCTTTCCTCTTTTCTTAAGACACTCTGCTACCATTAATTCGTATCATCCTCACTTTTGACTGCATTTTATTGTTTTCTACCTGTTAAAAATATATGAGATATTGCAGTTTTAATTACCATTCAATAATGCTTCGGCTCTCTGTTTATAGTAATTGAATTAGGTATCCATTAACACGAATTATAATCCTCAGTGACCGGTTTTAATGCAGCGTTTTGCTAGTGTGTTTTTTTCAAAAACTTGTATGATTAAGATCTGTGTGATATCTGATTACTGTATCCAAAAGAAAAACGTCATTTACCAGAAAAAAGAATGAAAGCATCTAAGGCATGCAGTTTGATAATAACTTTCTTAGTTCTTTGATAAATGTATATTTGCCATGATAAAAGTAAACACTTTTTATCCATTGTTCACTTTATTATTCACAAGTCAGGCTTTAATCATGCGATAAGTGAATGCTTTTAATTGCATAAGTGTAAGACACATCTCAGTCAAAGTTAGTATGAATATGAATGTTTTTTTATTCATGTCACTAATTATGATGACACCAAATCATTTTTTTGTCGAACTTTGACCCTTCGTGTGATTATATTTATCACGTCATACACACAATCAAAGTGTAGATGAAATCTCTCTGATTGTGAAATATTAATAATGTTTTCTATTTTGAAACAAACAAGTAAACCTGTTAAATCGTGGCATGCTGAACATGGTGATGATTAAGTAGTGAAACCTTCAAGTAGCTTTAATAAATAATTCACTACACTGTAGTACAAGCTTTTTATTTATTCTAACTACTCCATCTTTACTTTCAAACTGAATCATAACTTATGGTAAATTTTCAATATAAACAGGAAGGCATTCAGTTCACCAAAGAATAACCATCACACTAGTTAGTGTAATCAATATCCACTACAGTCCTACAGGAGGTCAATCGCGATCCCGAATAGCTCAGTGGTAACATCTCTGACTGCAGCACTGGGTGACGCGGGTTCGAATCTCAGAAGGGACATGGTTCCTTCAAGGTTGCAGATACGCCTTGCTGACTGGTGAGTGCCAACTAGCACGAAACCTAGGTCCAAGGCTTCCTGCCGATTGCCTCCAACCATCTAATATCATCATAAACAGGAAGGCACTAAAATATCCTATCGAGAGTATCATGAACTCCAAAAATACAATATCAACTGTTCAGAATCGTCATCTCTAATCTCCTATAATGTTGTTATATTTTGACTTGATTACGTGTTTGAGTTTCACTCAGACGAGTTTTACTTCAGGTTAACATTGAACAAGGCTGTAAATCTACGTGTTAAATAAATGAGTCAAATTGGTCAATGGAAGTTCCTGACTTTATTTACAGCTACAGCATACTTGTCTTGAACCTGAAACCAAAGTTTAACTACGCTTGGTTAGTGGCCTTTCTAGACTCAAGTATTTTACCATCGATTGGCAAGTCATGCTAGTAAAAAATATGAAGACCAAGGTTAGTAATCTTTGAAACTGGATTCTCCTGTCGTTCAATAAATTTCAAAATGTCGGAAAAGGCTTTTCTTTCGCACTTGATTTCATTAGTTCGTCATTTTCATTAAGACGGAGAATTATGCAACCGAATAATACATGGCTACTTATGCTTCAAACTGCTGGTAATAAATTTAAAACTTACGAAATTTGTACTACAAGCCGCAATAACTAAATCTGCAGTACTTTTTAGATTTGTTTAATAAAAAAGGAAACAAAAATTGGCAGACTTTGGGAGACTTGGAGTACTAAAACTTGTCATTCTCCTAGGCTTCTGTTCTTTCTGATTTCGACGTCTTCGTAAGTCCTGTTTCTGCGTCGCCTTTCATGTCAGGCAGAATTCTTAAGTTTTTTACATAAAATATGATACTCAAACTATAGTCATCTTCAGAATTATTTATTATTTATTTATTAAACGACTGGTGAATTTCACTCCGGAATAGGAAACACAGTTTAATTTCATTTATTTCCAGCATTTGCAACACTAAATCCCTGTGAGACTGCAAAAATTACAGGCATTAATAATGTTCTTGGATTAACGTGCCTGTTTCACTGATAACTATACACAAACGTGATTCAGATATTTTCATATCGTATTATAGAACAAGAGAACATCAATTAATTCACCTTAATTTGCCTTTCCATATTCCTATTTGAATAATTTTTTTCAGGCTGAATTAAAAAATCCAAATACTTGTGCATTTATGGTTGAGCCAATTCAAGGTGAAGCTGGTGTTCGTACACCATCAGATGGCTACCTAAAAGGAGTACGAGAATTATGTACAAAATATAATGTATTATTTATTGCTGATGAAGTTCAAACTGGATTATGCAGAACAGGAAAGTGAGTTCTCAGTACTTTTGTTTTTCGTTTTTTCTAATCTTTCTTAGGCATGTACAGTTAACCAGTAAACACACATATAATAGTCTTTCAATCGACAAACTAATTATCACAACGAGGATATTTAAATTAATTAACAAATCACTACTACGAGATTATAAAGCTTGATCACACAAGGTAGCTAGGACGTGTTACGGATACAGAGTCAATACCTTCTGCGACAACCAATGTTGACTAAGGTAGGATTAGGTGAAAAAGAGCTTACGGTGGTAAAACCAACATATGTCATCTGTTCACAAAACTGTTACCTACTGGTGTGATCTAAGTAGATACAGGTTGCCCGACCACAGTACTCAGAAAGATAAACATCATTGGTAAGGACACTTGGTGGCATTGTTCACAGTCGTTCAGTCTTGTTTACTGAATAATTATTTTCGTATCCCATGCTTCAAAGCTTCCTTTCCTAAATTACACACTTGTTCGATTGATTGTTTCTACGTAACCACTGATGTCTCCACAGTATTGGTCAAAATGACGAATATAATTACATAATCAAATAAAGGCGCTTGGTTGAATATATGCTATCACGTGTTATTGTAAAAAATGAAGATAATTAATTGCAATTTTTACAAAACTTTGATTAAACCTAAATATATTTTAGAGGATTAAAAGTGCATAAAATAGTGGTAATACCAAGTATTTCGTCCGTGATGTAGTTGTCATCATTCCTAATACAATATCCGCCATTCAGGCTTATTTTGTTTATATTTAAAATTCATTCTACCGAAATATTGTTTATCATATTTTTGACATGATTTCGTAATGATAGGTAAACAAATATTAAGTAGACTATGAAATCATCAGCTGATATGAGAATAAATGAAAACAGGAATGTTATTTCCCCTGTGTAAAAATTTAGCCACCTGACTGATTGAAGAATGAATGTTAAAAATTACTCACAAATCTAAATGTTTTGTGTTGGCAGATTTCAAATAGTTATATTATTCCAAAAGTACATTTTAAGTGACCCAGCTAACACAAAGATTGTTATTTGTGCAAATAAAATGAAAAAAAGAGTAAGAATATATGACCTAACACGTCACCTAATGAATGACTGTTTAGTTGTATGTGAAACTTACCTATCCTTTATCAAATAAGTCCTAAACACTGGATTTTCATGAAGAAGGGTGTTCCCATTGATATAAGTATAAAACTTGGGCACTGTGGTAGAGTCCCACATAAGTGAAACGGTGAACACAAGTGTTCAACGCTCATTGCTGGACTAGTTAGCATGGAGAGTTTAGCTAAAGGAGTGAGGCAATCCTGATGCCGAATCAGTGCTCCACAACTCGAAAAGGCATATAATCATCTTTCGGTCATCGCAACCTATGAGGAACAATGGTCCTAAAGTTGACCTACTGCTTTTTAGATTAGACTACGTCAAAGACTAAGGAATTGGTTCCATAATATTATCGTCAGCTCTGGTCTGGGTTATCCAGCCATTGATCCCAACCTTAACGCAAGCTTGTTTCAAATAAAATGAATAAATAATGCATATCAGCCGTAACCACACTTTGTTAGTCCTACTAGAGAAGTCAAGTACTTAAAATTATCTCACAGTGACCTCAGTTAAAGTGTCATCAGTACGAAACTATTTGTTATTCTAATAAAGAATGTTAACTGAAGCACGACTATGTAAGAAACCTATAAGAAATGTATGGGGTTAAGCACTGTCAGCATGAGCCACTAAGAAAATTCACGCTATCTTACTGAGTCTTGGGGATATTAGGAACGAGTGATTCTAAGCCCTACTCAATAAAGCTTAATATTTTATGTAGAAGAGCAGATATATTAATTCCTAGCCATAGTGAAAACTTTGAGCTCTTAATTTATATTAAAATGTCTGTCATCTTCTTTGTCTTACATCCTTCTAGATAATTTCGATATATTACTGAATAACTGATTGATAAACCAAAGTAGGACTTTGCACAAACCCGTATTACTTCTAGTTATCACACTTTGGATAAGCACACACAAAGCAATAGATGGAAATGAAGTAACATTACGATGAATAAGGATATATTAGAGCAATAATTTATGAAAAGTGGTGTTGACACTGAGAATCTAGAAAATCTTAAAGAATGGATCCATCCGCTTCTTCTTAGACGGATATGAATGATGTCACCATGAGTTCCAACCACTGGTTCCTAGTTTTCTGAGTATTCCAGACAACCTACCTACAGAGTCTAAGCTACGTGATTTATAGTCAAAACGTGTATTTTTTCAAATAGTTCCCATTCAGCAAACATGATATGGAACAGATTGAGTTCTGTATAATTCATTCTCCCCTTGCTGGATAATTAGATATCATACTGGTTCCGGACAGGACACAGTTTCGCGAATAAAACACCAGCTTTTTTATACGTGATTAGATTTCATCAGTTACTAGTCGCTTATAACAAATACTATCTCTCAAATAAGTGAATCGGTGCTTTGATTGGTTTAGCCTTCCCGCTATGTTAATGAGAGTATTGCTCTAGGCCGACATACTTTCCTGTGACACCTCCTGTTAGTCTCTATGTGCACTCAAAATAGTGTATAACAGAACTGATCAGTAGCGATTTAATGTTAAGTACTGAGTATTATGTATTTACTTTCATTTTTTCATCTTATTCTTACATAATTCAGAAGACTATGTGTAGACCACGAAGGTGTCCGACCAGATATCGTTTTATTGGGAAAAGCTTTGTCGGGTGGAGTACTACCAGTAAGTCACAGAAATATTTATGTGAAATTTAAATTTGTGTTATCTGACTATTTCTATGCCATCAGAAAACTCATAATAGTTTTCATTGAAATTGCTAGTAAGTGTAGTAAACAATATTAAGTTAAAGATACTAATTTGACTTGTGGGAAATTTGAATAGATTCGAATGTCTGTAGATATGGTTCTAAATTTAAATCTTTGCTGGTTGCTATGACGATTACAATGTAGTCAAAACGTGCACTACTTATTCAGCCTACATCAAACTTCAGTGTTATATTTACTTAGGTCACTAATCTCACAAGTATATAACGTTTTCTTACAACTTCATTGCTCATTTGCTAACAAGTCTTACAGTCATGATTGTCGTTAATCAACATGAAAAATAGGTGACAGGTGATTGTCACTTTTAGTTTCATTGTTTTTTGTTAGTTTAATAGTGATTTTATCTTTTTAAAATCCATTTGTAAGTGAAGAGTAAAAAAATATGACTAGTAAACAACCCCATAGTTTCATATCAAACGATGGACAACTGAAAATCAGTAAAACACGGAACAATAGTATGATTCAATATTTGCACATACGACATTCCAAGACTTGGACTTCAAGCATTTTGAATCCACAAAAATCGTTGTGAATTCAGTAAATTGCTGGTACTGTAGTGAGTGCTACTTATAATCAGATATAAGTAGTATAACAGTAAATGAATTCAGAAAAGTAATAATACGTTTCTGGGCACTGGAAAAACCCATCGAAGAAGAGAACTGTGAGAGAAGCGTTACAACACTGTGCAGAATGTGGTGATACTCAACCAGTTTGCAAATGGTGTGCAAATAAAGACTTGAAAATTTATGTACCTACAATGCGTTTGTCCTAGTAATTGTTGCTTTCAAGCCTCATCGGTGTTTTTTTCTTTAGAGTAAATAGTGTGAAGACTGCAGGCTACTTTGCTTCTAAGAACTCTCACTGGACTCCCTTCATCAACCGTACCTTTTAAGCTGTAGACGAGTGATTTTTAAGTCTGACTTGTGGTCATTCAGAAAAAAACAAAGTTTGTTTATCTAAAGCCTTCAGGCAGCGCCATTCACCCATGTCATTATACTAGGCACTACTTTAAGCGCGCTGATCATATCCAAGTAACCGACAGCATAAAACTGCATAAAACAGTGAGATTATAATATGAAGTAGATAATTTTTGTGCATTAGAAACCCACTAGAACTGGCTGATTTTGTCAAATTTGTTTTCGTAAATATATCTGTAAACCAATTTGAACTCTGTACTTGTATATCTCCAGGACCATTATCTCTAAGATAAATCTAATGTTCATTATAAATTATTTAGATTAATCACAGCGTGTTTAAGAAAAAATCAAAACAAGATTTTTCTGAACGTTTCGCTGTGTAAGCCACAGCTACTTTAGCAGAATTTTTCGGATTTTAATAATCATCGAAATATATAGTCAAAATTTTTTACATAAACTGAAGTCAGTTTATTTGAAGATCACTTGTCGATAGACATTTGTACCAATAGAAATATTTAAGCAGTGATCATATATTTGTAATGACTAATGTCTTATTGTTGTTGTGTATATTTTTCTGTATGAGTGTGTGTGAGTGTATGTTATTTGTCATATGGAAAAGAGGACAATACACACGTGATAAACATGATAACTAACCCTTACAAACCAAACTATAGAAAACATGATAATACATTTTTTTAAAGGTCATGGAGGTTCATAGAGGTTTTGGTTGTTTTTTCATCTGTCTTGCTTCATTAGAGTTTGCCATATAGGTGATAAGTCTATTCCTTCTTTCCTATTTACTGCATTCGATGTGGTTAAAATGTGCAAGGCTTCAGAGGTCAACCTTTCTTTATGTGAATGAAATCCTCTCCCTAGAATTTCAACCTTGTCTAACGTTGTTTACAACCAAAAAATAAAACTTATTATTTATATTTAATACATTTAAATAAAATACACTTACAATAGTGACTGAAATGTTGAACCATTGTTTGACCCTGAATCTTATAAAATGTATTTGGAAATTACTAGTAAAGAAAAAAACTAGGTTTCTTCCATGTCATAAATTTCAATGTGTTCATGCTTTAATAATACAACATTTGCCTTGTTATTCTGAGTCATTTTTGAGAACGACAATTAACTTTTTGAAGTAATTAGTCATTCACGTAAGATTTCCAATGAAAATATATTATTAGGAAAAGGTTCTTTCTGGCTAATATATATTAAAGAAATCTAGTTCCCATTATCATAGTCTGTAATTGAGTTAGTTAATGCTAAAAATTGCTATCGCCTAATAATCATTTCAAAATTTATAGGAACAGATAATCTAACGAGAGGTAATGATAAATATTCAGGGGAATTCTGCTCAAATAAGCTTGAGGCTTGTATATTATTTTGTGTGTATGAAAATATTGTTATAATGAACTCCATTCACCAATGGACACGATCCCCCCCTCCGTGTATTTAAATATCATTGTGAAGGTAACATTCATTCAAATATTGTTCACACTTCCCATGATTTGAGCTAGATTCGAGATTTCATGAAACTTTTTAAGGTCACCACACCAGTTCACCGGGAGCGATGAATCTGCACTTTCTCTATCTTATCGTTCACTGTAATGTAAACAATCGTCCGACAACAAATGAATTTGTCAACACAGTTGTAAAGATAAATTATATAGTATTATACCAATAAATAACAGAAGGGATATCAAGCGAATTATAAGCACTGTTTATGTTTTGTACTTTTTTTTATTTGTTCGCTTTTCCGATCTAAATTTTTCTTAAAATAATACTTTATGAATACAGGATTTCATCATGAGGTGACATTAGTTAGAAGACCACTGGAAAACCGGGGAGTACTGAACAGCTGTTCCGTCCTAGTTTGGGACTCATCATCAGTACGCACCCACCGGGATTCGAACCCAGGACCTTCTGGTTACAAGGCAAGCTCGTATACCATTAAGCCTCATGATGAAATCCTGTAACCAATCAAATCCCTACAAACCAACACTTGGATACTTTATGAATAGTTATTTCCGTAAATTTATCTTCTTTGTAACTGTTAGTCTATTGCTTTTGGTGTTCAAATTTTCCTCTGATCCAGGGTAAACTTGTGAATGTAATATTTTATGAATTTATCTCTTTTCCAAATTAATGTATATCATATATTTAATATAGATTTTCTTCAGTAAATTAAACTCTTGATAAATATATTAATTAGATCATCTCTGTAATTACAAGTTCATTGAAAGTTACGCGGATAATTGACTAGTACATGAGTTATTGATCTTATTTTTCATTTACAGACAAAATTAAATGTTAATAATAATAATATTAACTATAATGTATGTTAGGAAAAATATTAAATCTAAACATTTTTGGAGCTCAAATTGTACTGAACAATATTGTCATGTGATTTATTAGATTTTCATCTTAACAGATTGTCACTTATATGATGTTAGATTACTAAAAAAAAACCTATTTTAGCGAACCACTGAAAACCAGGGGGTACTGGACAGCTGTTCCGTCGTAGTTTGAGACTCTTCAGTAATATACGCCTATAATCTCACCAGGGTTCGAACCCAGGACCTTCATGTTCATGCAATTCGAACCCGTTGACTATTCAGCCACCGAACAGAACTCAATGGTTCATGAATTTTAACTTCGAGCCAATTCGTGATGCATAGCTCTACCGCAAACCAGGTCTCACTAGTGTTCAACATATCATCATGTGAATTTTCAGTCCAGCCAATAATCCATTTTAAACTCAAATATCTTGTAAGCCAGAAGCATTAAGCATCACAATGAAATGAATTTATCTTAACAGTGACAAGATATTTATTTTACTATTAAAGGTTTCATTGACAATGTCTCTATACTTTTCTGTATAATACTGAAATGTTTATTATGTTTTAAAGCCCTAACTCGAAGTACAACTTAGCTTCAATAAAGTAACTTTATTTTAGAAAACGAATTTAATTTCTGAATTCGTTAATATGAAAATAAAAGATCATAATCTTCAGGGAAAAAATAAGTTAAATAGTACATATCTGAATAATTCATTGCTGTTCGTCATATACGATCTATATAATAGGAATGATACATGATTATTATTATTATTGTTTCCTTTAATTCCTAGAGGAACATAGGGCTTCAGTCGTGCGTCTCCATTGCGTTCGGTTCTCTGCTAGAGTCTTCACCTGGCTCCAAGTCTGTCCACACGTTTTCATCTCCTCTTCACATGACCTCCTCCAAGTCACCCTTGCATTGACCACTAACTCGCCGCTTCCCTTTCGGGTTCCACTCGAGTAATAGCTTGTCTAGTGATGTCACTTGATGGTTTCCTGAGAGTATGACCAATCCATCTCCATTTCTTCCTACCTATTTGTTTCACAATCGGTTCCTGCTGGGTTGGTTCGCTCATTGCTAGAGATCTCTGTTGCTGATCTTCTCTCGCCGGCCATCTGATCTTGAGTATTGAGCGAAGACAACTGTTAATGAAGGTCTGTAGTTTGTTTTAGATGCTCTTTATGATGCTCAGTGCAAGTCTCAGATCCGTATAGTAGCACTGACTGACTTCACATTGGAGTTGAAAATCGGGATCTTAATTTTGATGCCGAGTGCTGTTGACCTCCACACAGACTTGAGAGTAGTGAAAGCTTGTCTTGCTTTTCCGATTCTTGCTTTGATATCCTCGTCAGTTCCTCCTGTAGCTGAAACGATGCTTCCCAGGTAGGTAAAAGAGGTTGTTTCTTTCAGGTTCCTTCCATTTATGCTGATTGTTATCTGTTGTTGTGGTTGTTGCTGTTGGTGATACATTAAGGTACAGCAAAAAATGATGACTAAGATACATTATGGCATGCTACTGAGTCCCAATTACCGAGATTTTTTTTCAATTATTCCTAAAGCAAAATGTGTTTTCTTTCAAACCATAATAACATTAAACCAGACAGATCAGAATCTGAAGGAAATATTCTTTTGAACGGCTACCATGACAAAGAACAAATAATTGTGTTTCTCCCTCAGTAACAAGTAGTAGAAACCAAAGTCTCAGTCAATTTTCCATTTGTAATTACACTTTTCCACCCACAGATTCTTATGGAAAAGTATTCATTAGGATACTGGAGAGAAAACAAGTAGTTCAACAAAGATATCTTTCCTGCGATTTCATTCTCGATAGCTGTCCAATTGCAATTTCCTTCTAGATTTTTTCCCTATAAGATAGCATAGTTACAATTATTATTTAATTAGACAGTGACAAAAGGGAAGTTAGAAAGAGATAATAATGGTTCAAACCGGTATGAAAATTTACAAGTTATTATCACCTTTGTTGATATATATATCCAATTAAATAATGATTGTAACTATGCTAAATTACAGAACAAAGAGTGCACAAAGAGTGAAATCTTTGTTGAACTTCTTGTTTTCTGTCTAGGTAAATAACTCAGAGTTCACAGAACCAAAGGTTTTCACCCGATTTATACTTTGAATCACGTAAATAACATTCAGTTCATGGATAAAAAAAATTATTTCAAATCACTTAAATCAAATAAATCAGATTTATGATTTTCGATTCCTCTGTTGTGAAATATAAAAACTTCCTTTGCAAACGTGATTTTCATTTTTTTTCTTTGTTTTTGTTTTTCTACATAATATTAGGTATCAGCTGTTTTAGCAGATGATTCAGTTATGCTAACTATCCAACCTGGTGAACATGGTTCAACCTATGGCGGTAATCCTTTAGCTTGTAAAGTTGCTATGGCTGCTTTAAAGGTAAATAATTCAGTTGTAATTTCATTCATAAGTAGTTAGTAAATGATTAAGTACGGATTCATATTTGTGTATTTCGCGATAATCTAGAGGTATTTTTTATCTCAAAGTTAAAAGATAGCGAATATTCAAATGCAAATCTAGCACTATACTGAGGAATTTCCTGATTAATTTTAATCAACATGTACTAGTTATCTTTAATTAACATTTGTGCGTTTATTAGTGAAGAAATAAAAACTATTCAACAAACCAAGATGCCCAGTAATTCATTATAAGAGATAAGGAAAAAAATCTAATTGGAGAAAAGTTTCTTTTTCACTAATATCATTCGCTAAGGTTACAATTACTATAAACAGTTAACAGTTCACTGTAGGACAATAGGAAGTGAAGTGGTAGAGCACTTTGACCGCTTCACTTACTTGGGAAGTACCATCAGCCCCAACGGGTTGATCTCCGACGAAATCTCAGCACGAATACAGAGGGCTAGTTTTGCATATGCCAGTTTACGCCGTCTCTGGCGTAGACGTGATATCCGACTATCGACCAGATGGCGTGTGTACTGCTCAACAGTCCGCTCCGTCCTCCTTTATGGCTGTGAGACCTGGCCATTGAGAGCAGAAGACATGAAAAGATTAGCTGTCTTCGATCATAGGTGCCTGCGCTCTATCTCCCGTGTGAAATGGTATAATAAGGTGAGCAGTATTGAAGTTAGGCGTCGAGTGCTAGGTAAGGTGGGGAAATCAATCGACATGGCTGCGAAGCTACATCGACTTAGATGGTTAGGACATGTGGTACGTATGCCTAGTCATCGCCTTCCTCGAAAATGGGCAATGATAGCTGATATAGGGCCAGGCTGGAAAAGAGCTAGCGGCGGTCAAACCAAAACATGGCACCAGTCAATGAAATCCACAACAGTTAGTCTAAGCCACGTAGGAAGGTGTAGACTTCCTGACCAGTTGCGGTCCTCGGGATGGTAAAAACCAATGGTTGGAAACAATTGGTGACATGGCTCAAAATCGTTCTCAGTGGCGCAGATGCATCCACTCCTTGTGACTCATGATTTCCAATTAAACTGTTTCTTTCTTCGTTATTACTATACCTTTGTCTCACACCTCTGTTAACTGTCTATATTATGCATTTCTCCTACTTTCTTCTCTTCCTTTGGGTGCTACATGGAGTGTGGCGACATAAACTGCTGCACATATGTGCAAAGTTCTATGTCGAAAACCGACCGACCTGTGATCATATTATTATAATTTTATTGTGGAGGACATAAAATTTGAGTCAGAATGCAAAAGAGGTTATGTCAAATCGTGAAAGGTGATTACTGCAACTAGAAATGCATTGAATTTAAAAAAGTATGGATAGCTTCTATATATGTAATATTAAATTTACGCATCTATGTCATCTGATAAAAGTTGAAGAGAGAAGGTAATATAATGATAATGATTGGTGTTTGCGAATTTGTAGGGGAAAAATGAAACCAGTCCATATACAGACAAGACGAGAAGTTGTACTTACATCTTTCAAATACTTAGAACGAATAAATCTGTCCACAATAGTAGTGGAAGTTTATATATAAGGAAGACGTTTGTAAGTAAGTGTAGATGAAGTCATCTAGAGTATCATTGTGAAATTCTACAATTCTTCATCTATCAATGTCACTTCCTTTGGAAAAATCAAGCTGTAGGGCCTACATTTTGACTTATATATCACAATATTTCCGTAAATTCATGCCATGCTTTTGGCTGACTATGCTGAAACTGTATCCATCTAATATCTATTCTCGAAAATTATCGGTAAAACGTTTAGTAATTAGGCATGTGCAAAATACGCCTTAGCCATCACATTTCATTCTTTATTCTTTTGAGATTTTGAGTATTCATCAATAATAATTGAAAGACTGTTTTTATAAAACTCACTTTTTTGATATAATCATTTTTTAACCAGCAAATGTTTTACTTTCGCTTTCACCAAGGTTTTGGAAGATGAAGGCTTAGCAGAACGTGCACAAAAGTTGGGTGAAAGATTTCGTAATGAGTTAGGTAAACTTCCGAAATCCGTGGTTGAATCTTATCGCGGTAAAGGTCTTCTAAATGCTATTTTAATTCGTCAAGGTAAGTAGTAAATTTTAACTGGTCAGGTATATTATCAACAATATCATAAACTGGTTATCCAATCTCATCCTTAAACACTACAGGTGAAAATACTGAGGCTCTTTATTTCGGTATCTTTAATCTCGGTGTATGAATTACGCTCGTAACCCTCGAAAGAAAGAAATGACTCTCGTTCGTTTATTTTAATGACATGTCCATATTTGTTTGTTGAAGACTGGAAGGGTAATCAAGTAAGCGAGTTTCGTCCTATTAGGGACTCGTCGATCCACTGCATCTGCATCCTGTTCAGTGGTGATGTTCTCATTGAGAACCATGTCCGATATTTATTGTTACAAGCATCAATAGGCTACTGAGTCACGTGAGCCATCTCCTTTTCAACCTGTGTGGATTGCGTATACTTCTGATTTCACTTTGATACCTCTAAACTCAAATGAAGTCACTTCAAATTATCGAGGGATCCGTTTAGGGAGTTCATATACGAAAGCGGAGCTGATCACTTCAGTCCATAAGTATCAACAAAATATATAGCTCCGATTTTATCTCTGTCGCCTTAAAGTGCCTCAGTCTGTTTCCATTAGGTATTGTAACCCGAATTCTACCGAAATTATGACAAATTGATAAACAGCAAATTTAAAAAAACTATGTCCATACAAAAATAAAAATTGAAGTAATTAGAACATTTCAGCCAAATAGACTGAATTACTTACTACATATTAGCTTTGGTCTAAACTATTAAAGATTAAGTCCGTTACCTGTATTACTTTAATGTGCATTATTATTATTAATCCCTTGGTTTCCGAGTGAAACATAGGGCTTCGACAGCATGTCTCCAATTTGTCCTGTTCTCTGCAGCCGTCTGCAGTCTCTCATCTCCTCCTTACGCAATCTCCTATACGTCACCCTCAGACGCCCAACTTGTATTCCACTGGGGTTCTACTCGAGGACCTGGTGTGCGATGTCAGCCAACGGTCTCCTCAGTGTGTGTCCGATCCATCTCCATTTTCTCCAACATATTTGTTGAGCAATGGGTTCTTGATCCGTTCCTTTCTAGAGTTTCTTGTTCTTAATTTTCTCTGGCCATTTGATCTTTAATATAGGGTGAAGGCAGCTGATGATAAAAGTTTACCGTTAGTTGCTGGAAATGCTTTATATGACGCTCAGTGAAAGATTCTGACTCATATAGAAGAACTGACTTAACATTAGTGCTGGAAATCCGAATTTTGTTCTTTCTGGTGAATGCAGTAGATTTCCAAATTTATTTCAGATTGATGAAGGTCTGCATTGCGTTTCCGATTCTAGTTTTGACATCCTCATCGGTGAGGCCTGTAGTTGAAACGATGCTTCCTAGATAAGTATATGTATTTCGTTGGTAGTGATTGGTGCTTGTTATTGGTTGGTTGTTTATCTTCATCCCCTCCGTCTTCTCTATGTTTACAGGATTTTCATCATGAGCTGACATTGGTTAGAGAACCATTGGAGAACCTGCGGGGAGTACTGGACAGCTGTTTCGCCCTAGTTTGGGACTCTTCATCAGTACGCACCCACAGGGATTCGAACCCAGGACCTTCTGGTTAAAAGGCGAGCTCGTATACCATTAAGCCATTGGGACTAATGTCAGCTCATGATGAAAATCCTGTAACAAATCAAATCCCTACAAACCAACACTTGAATATTATCTATGTTTACCTGAAGTTCTACCTTTGCTGCTTCTTCTGTCGAATTGTTGGTTTTCGCTTGTAAGTCTTCAAATTTATGTGATATTAGACATAAATTGTCCGCGAAATCCAGATCTTTTAGAGTCTTCTTATCGGTCCTAGGTATTCCTGTCTTCTCGCTCCCCACAGTCTTCCACATAAGTGATGTGCTTTGGGAGAATCATAACAACCAGTTTTTAATTACATGACCAGTACTATTTATAGCAATACTTTGATTTATAAAAGCTTGCTAACTTACTTAGATGACTTCTTGTGCAAAATTCAAGTATGACGCTAAATTATTTAAGCTTTATATTTTTACTTTTACTTATAATTGTCTTCATTTATCGTAAACAGGTTTCAACGCATGGGATATTTGCATGAAATTACGTGATCATGGTCTATTGGCTAAACCAACCCATGATACAATAATCCGGTTAGCCCCACCACTAGTCATCACGAATGAGGAACTAGATAAGTCGATTGAAATTATCAGTAAAGTGATCAATTCATTGGTTAAATAATCATTTCGAAACAATAGTGCAAAAGTCATCATTAGACGTGATATTTTGGTAAGTTTCCAGTATTACCGGTACTGTCAGTATATAAAATATATCGCTCATTAACACATATGAATGAGTAACAGTTTTATCAGTTATCAAATCGGCTAAACAACACAAGATCCTTTGAACAGTGCTGAATTGAAACAGCTAGATCAAAAGTGTATTAAACAAATAGGTGTAATCAAAATGGTCCAAATGGCTGTAACTCAAACATACATATCAAGTAGGAATTATTATAACTCAAAGGCATGCAAAATGAAGAAAAAAAGTACTACTTGATTTTGAAACGCTTATATAAAAGGGAAGGGATGAAAATGAAAAACCTCAATATCACAATTAAAATATGCTAAGACATCGGAGCATTTAGTCTTTCTAAGCAGTACTACATATAGTTTTCCACCATATTACTGGTCAATTCGATGCTGTCCAAACCAGATAGCTAGCTCAGCGACTTTATATAATCTTTTATTGTTTTCTTACTTCATAACCATATCAACTTTAGGTAAAATTGCGAGTTACCCTACACGAATTCAATCGATGTAGATTTACATTCGTACTGACTGACCTACCTTTTATCCTCAAGAAAGTGGAGGATAATTTTTCAAAATTCAACTAATTAGTTTATTTTACTTTGAACGAGTAGTCATTCTCTATACGTTTGGCTGATTGTCACGAAAAATTTTTTGCGGAAAAATCTCAAATGACAACTGGTTATCAGATTATATTTCTATATTGAACTACTTTACCAGGTAAAATGTCACAATTCTACTCCTGGATGTTAGTTTTCACTGTAGATTACATTTCCACAATGACTACTCGTAGAAGTGTCACTGTATTGTCCTTCTGTAACCTCCTTGTAGTTGTATTGAAGTCTCATGAAACAATTTGGACTTTCCCATTGATTGATTGATTGGAGCGAAGCGATCGGTCTCTGCTGATATGTCAACTCCTTGTGCGAACTCTCCAACGATTTCTGAAGACTTAACTTGAAGTAAATTGGTGGATGGTGACTATGAACACTGGGTTCGAGCCTCATTGTGAAACACTATCACTCACTGGGGAATGTAGGTACATCCTATGACGAGTCAAAAATGGGTTGGAATGCACATCCTGGATTTCACTGTTAGTCACCATCCACGAAATTAATTCTTATTTGTTTTCAAAAACATTTCAAATTGTATTTTTCAATTTGTATCTGAGGAAATATGTTAAGGGAGGTTCTGAAATGACTGTCATAACATCAGTTTAACAGAAAGCACATTCTGAGTAATTACTTTTAACTTGTCATTGTGCCTATTACTGTTATCATTATGAATTAGGTGGATGTGTTCGCTAATTGTTATGCAACAAATAATTATTCAACGCTTTACCACACGTTTATTATAGTCTCATAGCATTTTCTTTTCTTTACCTTTATAAATTGTGACAATTCGAACTGATGCACTTTTGTGCTAGTCTCTACATCGAGAATTCGGTTCAGTCCATATTCTAATGCATGAAATATTTCCCTGTCATTGTGCTGTATATCCATTATACCACTCATAGGAATGGCAGACAGTAAGATACACCAAATAATATTACACGTTTTCTAAACAGTAGTAATCATTGTTTATGACATCATATAAAACCCTTAGATAAATTACAAAATCACCTTCAATTAGATATTGTTCATTTATTAGTAGAAAAAAAGATCAAACACTAACGCTACACATTTACGTACTTTTATCGTGTAAACAAACAACAAAACACCACATGGACACATACTTGAAACTTTGCAAAATTGTTATTTATTTATATCTAATAATGATAAATCTTGAGAGTTTTGAAAAACAATGTAGATATTTAATATTATTACACATACAATGAGAGATAAACAGTGGCCAAAGTACTGTTCACAGTAATTTTTAGTTCAATGTAACTAAGTTGAACGCAACAGTTTAGGGATTTCGTAGTTAATAAAATGAGTATAATCACAATTTTTACATTATGATTCAACTATATCGGTCGGTTGGTTTTCGTCATAGAACTTTGCACATATGTGCGGCAGTTCAAGTCACCACACTCCATGTAGCACACAAAGCAAGAGAAGAAAGTAGGAGAAATGCATAATATAGACAGTAAACATAGGTGTGAGACAAAGGAATAGTAATAACAGAGAACAAAACAATTACACTGGAAATCATAAATCACAAGGAGTAGATGCATCTGCGCTAGTCATTGAGAACGATTTTAAGCCATATCACCAATTGTTTCCAGCCTTCATTGGTTCTTACCATGCCGAGGACCCCAACTAGGAAGTCTACACCTTCCTACGTGGCTTAGAATAACTGTTGTAGATTTCATTGACTGGTGCCATGTTTTGGTTTGACCGCCGCTAGCTCTTTCCAGCCTGGCCATATATCAGCTAACTAGATAATAGATGAACGAATGAAATGAGTCAATTGATTGTTCAGCGTTCACTAAACACACTACCCTTGAGAGATATGAATTTTTTTATTAAAAGACGATATGACGAGTATCGTAAAACAAGCAACATTACAGAACAGTTACTGCCTACTTAATTACAATGGATGATGGTCACATTATATCACAAATTACTAGTCGTTAGTAGTAACAGACTACTGAATTTCGGCGGCCCAGTGGTTTGGAGGTAATGTGACCATATCGGAAATGAATTTCTTGGGAGAAATAATCTGATGAAGAAGGAAAGCTGAGAAGAAAGACTTTGACATACCACAAAGATGTGTATGTCAAATCCTAAATGCACTTGTATTGAAGGATTTCACTAATTTTAATTAAAGATACATGATTGTAGACGAAATTAACAGAAATAAAGAACGATTACACAAAAGAATCACTTGATTATTAAGAAAATCTTGTCAGTTTTGCAGTTTAATACTTACACCACTCAATTAATCATAATTAGGCTTGTTCTGGCTTTCAGTGATGTGATGTGATATAATACACAAGTGTTTGAAATAGATTTTGTGAATGTATAAAACATAACAACCATCAAATAGCTCTTTTTTTGTCAGGTACTTCTTAGCATTGCCTACCCACAGCTACCTCAGTGATCGAGTTAACAGCCTCCAAATTATGATGCAAGGCCTATGGTATTCCATGTCTATTAATTTGCCAGATAATTCTAATGCACATATACTAGAAAGATTAATAGATAGACAGTTTGTGATAAGAGAGACACTTCACAATAGTCACTTTGTAAAACCTTAAGTCATGTGAAAGAAAGTACAGAGTCCCTATGCTAGCCTGAAGTCTACCAACAGTTTAAACCCCACAGTAATATCTGAAGCGACTGTTAATCAGTACTTGAGGTTAGTTAAATTTTATCCCGTATATTATTTCAAGATTATATTGTTTTTTTTTCCACAACATCATTATTATCACCTCATATTGTTTAACATCTTCAACTTACTTTTCAGATCTTTCATTTCCCTTCTCAATTATCTTACGGCTGGAAAATTGTGATATTTGTGCAAAACAACCAGATGACTTTCATATTTTCAAACTAAGCAACTAATTTATTTCTTTGAAAATTATTTTCATTTCACTGAAAAGTTGATTTTGCTTTTATCAGTTGATTTACATTACATTTATTTAAAAATTACAATTACAACATATTCCTACATTAGAACTTTGTCCGATATTTTCTTTTCTTTGAATTATTCCTTGTTGTGCTATAGACAAATTACATCACCATATTGACTTTATTGTGATATTCTGAAATGAGATGTACACATCCATTTTAGTTCCTATGATGTATGTGTATTTGAATTTTAATTTTTGAGATTTATTTTCGAAAAATTTTGCTTTTCGATTTCTGCAGCTTCGTTCGCGTGTGTTTTGATTTTCGATTTATTTGTTTGTCACTTTGTGAACAGCAGCAGTTTTGCAAAGCCAATACAACAAGCATAATTATTATGCTATCCAAGTTTTTGTGTCTTTTATTTTACAGGAAAAGATTTACTTTATGTAAGTTTATGCATATAAACAGTTGGCCATTAAAATGTCTACAGCTTATTTAAATATGTCAATTACTTGAAAAGGTTTCTCGATATTCCATGGACTGGTAACTTGTTTGCAAAGCCCAGATAGTCAAGGAAATTGATTCACAAGTCTAGAAATACCAAAGTGAAACTGAAAGCGTAAACAACATTAATTTATTACACTGTGTCGTAAGGCTGTTAAAAACGCCTGCGTTCCTCTGTGGTCATGGCAGACCACCTGGTTGTCTTAACTCAGCAGCTTTGTGAATACAACTTTAGTGTTTTAAATCATAGGTGCTTAGTTTGAATCCTAATGAAGACATAATCAGACACTGGGAGGCAAGTACAAACAGATGACGAGTCACCAGTGGGATGAAGTCTGGAGTTTGAATTTAGATGGTAATTACTACATAACAAAAGTATTCATAGATAAACTGTTTTCCAACTGGAGCTATGTGCTCAGAAAAAGTTCGTACATCCACTATTCCTCCTTTGGCTAGTGAAGACTTAAGTAACTACTCATATCATGCTGCTCTCATAAATTTTCAACCCCTTTCTTGGCAGTTCGTGTCAATCCTGCCTTAGTCTTAACATATCTGCATTGAAGTATGATAATCACAGACTAAATCCCTTTGGAGTTTGTCGATTGTTAGAGAAAGTTTCTAGCCTTTGAGGACTGATAAGTTATCTCACAAATGCTTTTTGTTCTGGAACAAACTTTTTATTACAGTCTTTGACATGGAATGAAATAAAGAGATTTTACAGCTAAGAGATCATCAACATCTTCTTGTGGTCAAAATACGCGGAAAGCCTTATTGATAAATAGTGCATTATCCTGAGTAAAAAACATAAACGAATAAGTTATCTGGAGTATGGTTCCAATGGCTTCAATGATTAAGACACATTTGTCACATAATAAAAGTCTCCCTTCTGTGATATTACTTGATGTTATAGACGAGTGTATAAAATGTTAATATATTAGCTCGAACATTCAAATAAGCACTAAACTCTGTTTCACAGATCAGAAGTCTCTTCGTGCAATAACTCCTAAGATGACGCATTGATTGACAAATATGTAAATTTAAGATGAAATAGAATAATAAAATCAGGATTACTGAGAATGTTCAGAACTTAGAGAATAGATGCGCAAGCACACGATTACAGCAAACAAAAGAAAAGTGCTTGATCTATAAAATCTGCCTTTAAAATTCTGAAGTTGCATTTAATACATTTTTAAACAATCGAATAACTTTTTAAACTTCCTCCAGTTTCACTATGTAATATACCTAAAAACATGGTCTTAGATGAATACTTGAGCGAAAGAAATCTTTTTCAACAAATTTACTTGCGAAAACTTTACAACATATAAGTGTTAAGCAGTTAACCTCTGAGTCCTTATTCGTATGCTTGAGGGGATGTTGTGATACTTTCGTCATTTGTTTTCCTCATCCCAAAGTATTTTCAGGGGATAGTACATCCAAAGTAAGAATATGTCAATGTACGATTATTTGTAGAAAAATTGGTTCATCTGATTACTATTCATTACTATCCATTGTATTAGCCTTAATAGTTTGATTGCTGACAAAATCTCGTTCAACACTTTTCAACTTGCGTCATCCCTGATGTAGACGTAATATCTGTCTATTGATCAACTTGGCTCTTCGCTCTGGCCATCTCTATAGCTACGAAGCATGACCACTGAAACGGGGAGATATGAAAAGACTAGCCATCCTTGACCATAAATGCCTACGTTCTAACTTTTGCGGTGAGTAATAATGAGGTCAAGCGAAAAGTGTTAGGTAAGGATAGAAGGTCGCTAGATAAAGTTATGAAGCTACATCCGCTAATTTTGTATGGCGTATTCTAAGACATCGCCTTCCACAACGAGCAATGTTAGGTGGATTAGAACCACGTTATAGAGTAGTGAAACTGAAACATGAAATCAATCGATGAAGTAATTGACTGACTGGTGAATGTACTTGTCTGGCTGGAGTTATGGGATGCTAACAATCAATCGTTGAAGACTGCTAGTTTCAGGGTGGTCTACTTAAACCACTGGGCTATCTAAATTTTCCATCCATCAGAATGAATCGTGTTTACTCCACTTGAGATTGTCCTAATCTTGTAATTACCACAATGAGCCTCGATCTATACTCACGCACAATTTCTAACAACTTTCTAGCTACCGCTAGGAATTTCTCGAAAGAAATTGACGAAGCCCACTGTGAATTAGCATTAAATCATACTTCAGACTGAACAATATTGCTTCAGATGGTGTATTATCGATTGTTATATCATTCTACACAAGGGGCATATACCTTGCAATGGAACCCACTGAAAATTCTATATTATGTATAAACACATTTTTCAGAATAAAGCTATAATTATTAGTATGATATGGTCTTATTTCTTCGATACTTGTCAATTGACTACAACCCTTAAATAACCTTAACAAAACAGTAATTTGAAAGTTCAACTAATTTTATTTGTTTAAAATGGACATAATTAGCATCACATGGTACATAATACTCACAGAAGCAAGCGGTGACAGTGATTACAATAAGTGATCAAAAATCAAAGTGTTTTTTATTTTTAGTCAAACAATAAAAGCTGTGAATCGATGTAGTAGGATTAAATAATGTAACGAAAATTTACCATGATATGGAAAGACTGAAAACGATTTCTTTCTGATTATGTATTTGAATTTCATTGATGTAATATTATAAATATCCATGACGCAGATGTGAATTTCCTGATTCAGTGAAACACAACAAACTAAAACTCCCTGGTAAATTAATTATTTTATAGGGTTTTATAACATCGACGTCATGACTACTGTCTATCAGATAAATGACAACTATAATGCCGAATCCCGGTGGGTGCGTTCTGCTGAAGAGTCCCAAACTAGGACGAAACAGCTGTACAGTACTCCCAGGTTTTCCAATGGTTCTCTAACTAATGTCAGCTCATGATGAAATCCTGTAACCAATCAACCAAATCCCTACAAACCAACACTTAAATATCAATGAGATGCCCTATTCAGGTAGGTAGTTACCTGGGGTTCTAGTGAGAAGTCGTGACCAGTAGGGTGCAGCAGGTCGGGTGTGAGGACAAATACTCGCCGAAGACATTAACTAGGGGTCGCGCTATGTCGTGAATTGGCAGAAGTTTGAATTCATGGGCCATTGGATCGGGTCCCAGTGGCTTAATGGTATACGAGCTCGCCTTGTAACCAGAAGGTCCTGAGTTCGAACCCTGGTGGGTGAGTACTGCTGAAGAGTCCCAAACTCGAATGGAACAGCTGTTCAGTACTCCCAGGTTTTCTAATGGTTGATGATGAAATCCTGTAACTAATGCCACAGAGCTGGACACCTTACAATCATACATATCCCCAGACGTACAGTCATAATTCCTTCCTTCTCTTCCTCAAATGTACATGTAAACTGATGTATGAAAAGTTGTGTTTATTGAAGGAGTAAGTAAATTAAGTAAGATATTATCATGACATCAGTAGAAAAATCCTAGAAATTTCTGTAAATTATAGCAAAAGTAAGAATAATAATGTAAGTCAAAATAAGGCTAAAATGTGACAATAAAGTAATTAGTCCTTTAGAAGGAAATCGTTCACCGCAATGTAGGTGAATAGTTGTCTTCTAAACAAAAGAATCGAATAGCATTAAGTTGATGCCTATAACACAGACAACCTACTCTATGAACAGTGATGAGAATCTTTGTATACACTTATGTTGATTATTTAGTTGTTTGCACGGTATGTAATTGAAAATGATACTGTGAAATATAAATATCATATCATTCTGTGAAATCACATTTAATTATTATCCTTTATTATAATGCTCAATAAAAACATTTCACACAGTGATTAATACTATTTTTGACGATTTCATTTTGACAGTTACATAGTTATACATTCATGCGAATTAAGAATATTCTGGCTGTCTGATTAAATCACCAGGATACCTAAATTTCCATTTGGTATAATGCATAGACTCTATTCTATTTTTGATTGTTTTATCCATCTAACTGTGTTTTTGGATTGTTATATGAATTTGCACACATTTTCAACTTGCTGTAATGAAAAGCGCTTCTCAATAGAAAAGAAGAAAAAATACCGTAGAGATTTGGATATTGCTCTAGATGGAAGAATTCAGCGTTCTGCCGAATAGCATTTTACTTGGAGATCCTGTCCGAAGAGTAGATATTTTGCAATTTAAATACGCTACAATAAATACTCTGCTCCTGACTCTAGTGCGTCGGTTGCTTAGCGGTAGAACACTGGCCAACCCCGCAAGTGGTAGGGTTCGATTCCCGGCTGACGCACTCCTAGGCCTCGCTTACCCGGTAGAAAACGCGGTAAAGAGGGAAATTTAGGTGTGAGGCTAGCAATCCTATCCCGTAAAAAAACATCACTGCTTCTGAAACCTCGAAACACTAGATTCAAGCCAGTGGGAACGAAAATGAATAAAAAAATTCTTTATTGTGTTAACCTATTCTCTAGAATAAAGCTGTTATTATTATTAGTAGTATAAGAATAAGTATATTGGTTTGCATGCAGATAATAATTTCAACAAGTAATGGAAATATAAAAAGGGAAATAATATTGGTTGAGATGATATGTAAAGCACAAATCAACTGATAAAGTATAGACGACTAAATATAAAAGTCAAGGTACAATAAGCAAATGATTAAATTACTGAATATAATGTCGATTTTAGTGAAATATTAAGTACATTTTGAAGTGAAGAAAATGTGAATACCTGAATTCATCAAATGAATAAGATAAAAAAACAAGAGGGACGAACCATAAGATAATGATAGCACTAAGTGCAACAAAACAAAATTAAATGAGGTAGAAACAATATTTTGTGAATCCCACATACTTCTTATTATCCAACCTAATCCAAATATAAATACCAGTGTTAAGGTATGAAAATGAAATCCTAAGAAAGACAGCTTTCTTCACAGAAATCATTTCTCCTTGCCCTAATACTTTGTTTAGAAACTCAAACACCAACTTATTCTA